AGCTTTAAGAATTTTCATAAGTGAAAAACAGGGGTATGTTGTAGCATTGTCAATATCTCAAAGACACTAGAGCCCAGACTCTTTAGAAATGACAGAACTATGCTTGATAGTCAGCTGACAGAAATTGTGCTTGTGTTCAGTTGATTCGCAGGTAATCTGTATTATTCGTTGGTGTATAGGTGTATTCTTGAAGGCACGGCACGCTTTGCGACTATAGTTCAAAGAGCCGGTTGATTTCCACGAGGCGAATTTCGCATCGAATTCGCTTCGAAACTGTCTTTTGATTTCCACGAGACTGCGAATTCACTGCGAAATTATATATTTATCTCCTCCAAAACTCAACTTTAAGGCGCCCAATTTCAGAACTGCACGCATGGCGAATGTTCCAAGATTGTTTTCGTACAAATCAAGCAAATTCACCATGCTTTGACTGGTTATTAAGTTCTGCGGAATATTTAACCGCGAAAAAGAAGAACTCTTTTCTACTTTCTTGCGAATTCACTGCGAAATCAAAAATCAAAACTGCGCATGCCTTGATAACTTCATCAGCGATTTTGCCGCGAATTCGCTGCGAAATTCGCCTCGTGGAAATCAGCCTTTATATCGTACTGCATAAAAATACAAAACACGCCGCCGGTTACGCAAGAGAGTTTAAAACGGTGTATTCTCTAAACGGTGAAGAAGATGAGTAGGCACAAGATAACAAACTCAAGATTTTGGCGGGCGTTTGCATCTAATTTTTTTAAGAAGGAATCCATCTGTACATTACCGATTTTGTGCAGTGGCCAATATTTCTTAAAATAGGTCTTGAAATGCTCAATCCTATTAAAAAATCTTCTGTACTTTGCAAAATTGTTATGGTGGGGCTTGAACATTGAAGCCGTAACTTTTTAGATTGGGATTGATGTAATTGTTCAAAGTCAGCAGGAGTCTGCCGACATTGTTGTTTGTTAATTGAGTAGGTGGTCATTGAAAAAATTGTTGACTTTTTGTAAGCAATGCGAACAAATTGGCCTTTATGAAAACAGGATTTTTCAATTTTGGAAACATGATTGTAAGATATATCAGTTATTTGCCTCTGACAATACATTTACCTAGAGGGAGGAGTCTCGTGGATTAAAATTCAGAATCATCGAAAACGTTCGTAAAGAGGGATAAACAGGGTAAGGATTTGAAATTGGTGGAGACTGTAAATCTCTTTCTAAGAAGTTAACAAAAAACAAAAACTGTGTCTGTAGGCAGAAACTCGCGAGAATCGTTTATTAAACCGACGCTGAATGGCTAGAAGACAACAGCTGGTATGCCTTTAGGCTCAAAGATACTGTAGTGTAGATAGGGTTCTTTAGCAAGGACCGAGATACCGAGGGGGGGGGGGCCTTGCCCTCCCCCAAAAAACTTAAAAAATACCTTTTATTTTGTAAATGTGGCTGTTGCTACACTTATTTATCAGGGCTGCCCCCCAAACAGCAAGTTGTATCTCGGCCTTTGTCCTTTAGGGTAGGGTTGTCATCTGAGCCATCAATTGTTATATTGGATGACGTCACAGAAAATTTTCATTATCAGCCGCTGTACTTCACCTTTCTTCGGGAAAAGCTACTAGCGGAGACCAAAGATAATATCAAATACCAGTAGTATGCTTTTATCAAATCTTTTTAGAAAATCTCGTACACCTTTTGTGAAAATCCTATTGTTTTATCTCAAAATCCCCAAAAATCCTTTTGTTTTAGGAAAAATCTCGTACGCTATATGCAAGAGTGAATCGCCCCTCGGAAAAAACAAGCTTTCGTCAGCTTTTACCAAGATCTTGCTATCACTGATGGGCCAAAATCAAATGTGAATAAAGTTTCCAAAAAAACATCGATTATATGTATCGATATATATCGTTTTCTGTTCTTATCTATTATGGTACAGGTTCTTTATCCGACACAAATCAAAGTAGGTGTTCCAACATAAACTTTTGCTATGGCTAAATGCAAATACAAATTATACACTCAGTTATTTTGATTTCATCCATACAGAAAAGCTCTTTCGATTTACAACCATGCCATTTTGAAAATCTAGGATCGGGCCTCCTTTTCAATAGAATTAGATAAAATGAGAGTTTCGTAATGAATAATTTTTTATAAAGTCAAATACCTGAGACAAATATTCAAGCATGTAGTTTTGGGAGCTTTATGACCATGACCCTGGTGTCATTGAGATTTGGGAACTAACACCTATGAGGAATAGAAAACTTGCAGAGCCACTGGTTTCTCAGCTTATCTTAAACATATGTTCAAACTTTAGGCCCTTGTCTCGACGGTGTTGACTGGTATATAATCTGCATTTCTAAATGACAATAAAGTTTCCATTTTGAAAAATTTGTGCCAGCAAAAACACGAAGGCCATTGGGTTTTGAAAATAATGCAGGTGAAAAGCACTGTTGAATATCATCAAAAATATTTTACAGTTTTACTGATGACTATGACGATAAAGATGGTTGATGAAATTTCGCGTAATCTTAATTTTTCAATTTCAATAGATTTATTGATTAATTGCTGTAGTTGCGGTAATTGAATGTCAGTCTGACTTGTGACACTCGTTTGTTTAGAAAGACCAGATAATTTTTGTTTGCTCAATGTTCCTTTTTTTAACAATTTAAGACTCGCATCTTCCCAATGTAATTCTTGTTTAATTTCGTTTTTTCTACATTTAAACACTTGGCTTTCTGTTATTTTCCAATCATTTATTCTCCCAAACGTATCCCTGCACGCATGACGTTACGAAAAATATTAACTTTATATAAGATAGAGTCACCAAGGTGATTAGCTTTGCTGTTGTTGTTGCTGCTGTTGTTGTTAGGGCGACGAGTTCAACAGAAAGAGCGAGTTTAGGCCAGTGCATATAGCAAAACAAAAGCGAATGAGAATAGAAGAGCTTGAACTTGAAGAAATCATTGAATACAACAACGCCCACTTGTTTTCCCTTTTTTGAACAGCATACACAATACGGCAATACTATTGACTCCTTTTTTATTAATATTCAGAAATTAAAATAGTGCAACATAGCGTTTTTACCTGGGAGGCGTTTTCAGTAACGAAACTCATCCCCCGAGGACAGGCTGGTGGTTCCCAGCAAGGCTGCAGAGACGACCCATTGTGCAGATAGGAGATCGTTTGTGTTAAACCATGAATTTTTAAATAGTAAGTAAAGAGGAATCCCACTGGGCAGGCGCCTGGCAGACTGCAACAAGAATAGGCCTCTGTTAGACCCTGGCGGCGACCTACCAAGCTTTAAACGAAGTTCAACACCTATATGGCAAGGTATAGTGGGATCTGATAGCGCCCCGTTACGTGCTCGCACTGTGTGTGCAGTTGAATCGATAGCGCGTGGAATTCTCGAGTTCGACTATGATTTGTCAAAACAAATGAGAAAATCCGCAGGGGCCAGAGCAGATTTTAACTTCAATTGGTTCAGTCGTGTTTTTCAGCTGTTTGGGTCTTGGCTGTGGTGGGACTTCATGCAGACATAGCTTAGTTTCTTATGAAAACCGCTCTGCCGCAGGAGACGAGTAACGCTTTGATTTCTCACTGACAATCTCAGTGTGACGAAGTTGAATTTTGCGGAATTCTCTTGTTTGCAAGCAAGATCTGCTTGTTAAGTCAATAACTTGACCGAAAGCCAATCTCCTATTAGTTTACTTCGTTTCCCAATAACTTTAAATTTAATCACAAAAAACAAGCCTGCCGCCACATATATACTGTTTGTTGACAAAGTTTCATCGTTCGGAAAGCCCCGGCGCCCTGTGATCGATGCTGATTGCAATCTTCCCAGGACTAGCGTCTTGCCTTTAGGATCGACTTTTGGGGGAGATAACACTTCCCAATCAAGGCGCCACTTATTTGGGTGCCCCTACGATTCGTGTCTGGCATTCTCCCACGAAAAAATCTCAGCACGGCGTCAAAGCTTTCATATTAAATGCAATTGTCCCAATGTTCACGATCTTTTGACTTCAACTCAACGAAAGATTCGTCGATGTGTTTAATTAAAAATTTACCACTTACATTTTATTTCATCTAGACGATATTTGCGATAGACGATATATTCACATGACTGATGAGTCTTAAGATTTTTTGCTCGACTGATTTGCTCAACTGTAACTTCAGTTGAAGTTGGGAACTCGTTTATTTTAATATATTTTTGATTTAGAATTTCCTGCCAAAAGAATAGTACAATGCAATACTGGCCTGCAATAGTACACCCTTCACACTAATTTTACGTTTGATATGATAACGATGAAGATCTAACAAGAGGCAGATCTACACCCCCTTAATTCTTATATTCATAGCACTTCTACATCGAAATGAATTTTGTATATCGCAGGCCAGGCAAAATTCATTATTGACTAAAGTTATACATGATAGCGATGCGTAATTATGGAAATGGTTGCGAAGCAATTTGATTTTATTCAGAATTTCTAAATGCTACCTAAATTCTGAAATTTTCATTAACCTAACTTTTATTGTCTTGCCAAAAGGACTTTCAAAGACAGTCCAGAGATTGAAGAGAATAATTGAGAAATATATGGATACATTTAAATAAAAAATATTTCGAGTAACGTAGAAAAAATATCTTGGATAAATGTTAATTTTGAATCATTACCTGGGAAAACATGGGGTGCAAATTGCTATGAATAGAAAAAGCTTTGTATTTGAAATAGAAACCAATCTACAGTACAGCTATGACATAGCAATATGCAGCTGTGACGTTGCAGTTGTTGTTGATCACGAAATTATAAATGCTGCAACGATGAAATGAAAAACAGCAAAATGCTTATTTATATTTCTCATTCATGATTAATTACCATGTATAATTAATCATTATCTAGAATGTTAAGTTTGGTACCTAGACAATGCTGTTTCGTGACTCTGAAACGTCAGTTACCTTGATCAAACTCTATTTTCTCCTTAGCTCGCCTCAGGGCTCCGTTCACGAGACTCGCGACCGCTACATTGTCCGATGAGTTCCCGGTAGACAGACAGTGTTCGTCTTTCATGGTATTAGTAGGTCGTATGGGCTGGGAGTGAGAAATTTGTTTAAAAGTCTTTTGTAAAGATGTCTGCACGACGGAAGCGACATTGCAGTGAAAGTCGTAAAAAAGAACGGGATTGCTCAACTACCAAACGTCGAAAAGTTTCTTCGTCAAAAATTGGATCACTCACGGATATCTGTGCGAGATATGTCGCAGAAAGGTTTGCATACGAGTACGTAGAGAACACTTTACCCCACATTCCGGAACCCATCCAAGAAAAGATCGTATTCTGGGCCTTTCCAAAGAACGAAAATGATATAGCGCTTTATTCGTCTACGAGTTCCTACTCTCTCGTATCCGGCAGTAAACAGCCATTTCAGATGGGAATCAAATTGCTAGAAAGTGGTAACGTTAAAGAAGTTCTCCAAATCGGTAAGATCGCTTTTTCGAAGACTTTTGTTTAGCTCTGGGCTTTCATACACCTTAGGTTAGATTACTAAACCATATGGCTGGAGGTATCATTTTTCAGTCTGTCAACTTTTATTTTCTTGCTGGATGAAAGAGATTTAGTAAAACTTCTAATTGTATTTAAACTTTGTGTTTGGAAACAGAGAGCTTGCGCCTTGAGAATTAATTTCACTTAAGTTTTGGTCATAAAGCATTCAATTTTCTTCAAAAGATTCGCCGATTGCTTGTTGGTAAACAGTTTCTATAAAGTCGTGGCGACAAATGGTAGTCTGGGGATTGGTTGATGAAATATTAGCATACGGCCAATGTACTGAAACGAATATATCATTGATATTTTTTGTTTAAACTATGAATGATTTTGTAAATAGGCGTCGAATCCTCAGGACATAGCAGAATCTTTTATGCTTTTGCTAACGGATATGTTGGTCTATGCGCTATTTCCGGGTTACCTTCGCGGAAAAGCTGCAATAACATGATACCGATGTTGACAGTGTGCGAAGAGAGAATGTAAGGAAGAGCGTAGCTCAAAACATACTGTATTTCACATTGGAAGCAATAAAGTGCGTAAAGCAAAAGTTGTGAAGACTTACAAATCATGAACAGAGTGAAATGTTGTTAGTACCTTCGTGTCTACAGTCCAATTTCAGTTAAACAGAGGGTCCTAAACCCAAATCCCATTGTCATACATAACTGGCCTGGCTGGTCATCCCAGTCACGTTTTTGCAATATGTCATCAGCTCTCTGATTCAAATTCAATCAGGACAAGCAAGACAGATACCCCTTGTCGAAATGGAATATTTATCTTATTTTATGCTAGTTTTTCTTTTACTCTAGATGCATGGCCTCTTGTATACCAGCATTGCTGAATACCATGCTTAAATAATTGAAAATATTAATGCAAATGTGGTTTATAGCAAACCACGGATTCCATCTTATTTTTCAGAGCCTTGTTGATAAACTTTAGGTACTCTGGTCTTTCAGAATGAAACTGCCTGCTATAGCGGCTGCTTTCCTTTATAATTACATGCCCGCGTCGTCATCGAAACATCTTCATATTTTCTCAAATTCTGTTCTGCACTTACTTAGCTTTATCACTGCTAAATATTACTTCGGTTCAACGGGATATACAGAATTCTCTGATCCGGGCAATTTTTATCTTCACATTTGGCAAAAATGGATCATAGAATTGGAATCTTTATGTTGAAATTAGTCTGTGCTGAAAAATTTGTTAAGGCCTTCAGACAGCGAATTAACCCATTTTCAAGATTTAGCTTTTTCTATACATTTCAATGGAATTTCTTGCTGTAGTGAAATTTTTTTACTGCAGCAGCAAATTCCGGTCAAATCTAAAGAAATATCTAAATATTCAAAACAAAGTAACTCGCCACCGAACAACATGATTTTTCAGTATACTCTAATTTAAAGATGAAGATTTCAATTCTGTAGCCCATTTTTGAGAAAGATCTCTAGATAGCGAAATACAAAATCAATGACGTTAACCCGGAACGGAGAATGGCAACATGAGCACTTTTCGTGACATAGTGCAGCGAATGACATCTCTTAATAGAGTAATATAACAGTTTGAATGCCATAAATATTGTTCTTGTATTAATCTCTTTGGTGACAGAAAAACAGTTAGAATATAATTAGCAGGAGAATATATCCGATCTTTCAAATTTTTCTATTTTTAATCACAAATTTCACAAAAAGCCTGCGACGCCCCCAGGTTTTTCCATCGTAATGAACGAGGAATTCCAAACATTCTGACAGCATATGCCAGGCCCGCAGCCCGCTACCATCAAAACACGCAATGCTCTCAACATCACATTAAGCGGCATGCACTGTTGAGGGTACTTTCATAATCGCGACCCAATACACTTTCTCCAATAAATTGTTAGATGAAACTATGAATATCTGAAAATACTGTTAATTGATAATGAATTTGATCAAGTTCGGTAGTCGTCACTCCAAAATGACTAGCAACATCTTGATAAGTGTACTGTTGCTCTATGAAAACAACACACCCTTCTATATGCGATTTTTGGGGCAAACAATAGTTTTATTCGGGGGCTTTCTTATTCACAAATAGCCCCCTGGTTTTGAGCGCCGGTTATTGATATATCCATAAAAATAGCTACAGGAGAGGGGCGTTGCCTGATAAGAATGAAAATGGAAAAGATGATAGAAATGATTTCAGTACAATGCACTTTGAACTGGGCACAATACCATATATTTTGATGTCTCTCCAATCATCGGAGCCAATTAGTCGGGGCTTTCATGTTAGAATTTCTCTTTTTTCAATGTGATTGAAATTATATCGCGAGGAAATCGTTATGCATAATCCAATAAGTTGATTGTATTGCATAGACGACCATCTGCAAACAGTTCTTATTTTTCCCAAATGATTTTCGTTTAACCTGAAAGATGCGGCAATAACACAAGGACTTATGCAGCACTTTTAGCTTCATTTATCAATAATTTTGAATTGAATCTGATAAAACAGCTCGTGGTGAGACAGAAGACACCGTGCCCGATGTTGAACTAAGCCAGCGATTTGATAGGCCTTCCAAAGGCCATTTAAAACTTCCTTTCAATACAGACAATAGTAATTATGCTTTAAAATGATTATATATGACTTTATTGAAATACGGAGACAGCAGTATCTTTATCATGAATACGACTGGTGGTTTGGGATGTTCTCGGGGGTCTGAGTCATAATAAATACATACGTAACCAGCGGCTCCTTGAATCGGCCTCACAGCTGTGAAATTCTATTTCATTAACCTGCTTACGAAACCCGTTCGGGGGCGAAACCTTGTTAGACTCCGACTGTGATTAACATGGCGAATCAGGGTATGTGACTAGGCCTCCTTCTACGCTTGGCGCCATGACGTGATAAGACTTAACCAGTCGACATAGCCCACCACTACGCCATAACAATACATTGGTGACACGGGGAATTGTAAAAATGATCCTAGCCAAATTTCATGCAAATCTTCATAGGGGGAGATCCTGCCACAATGTCGCTGCCCTGTAAGTCTTGGTTTGTACCCCGCCGGATCACTCCCAGGGTAGCAGACGTTCCATGTGTATTCTAATACGCACATAACAAGAGGTCATCTTACAAATTTTTTTCACGAGTTAAGGGAATGGCCGACCAAACCAAAACCCCCACTTGTTTCTAGGTTCGTTAAATCATAGAATGTCCGTGGAAATTTTGCTGTCGGACATTTTGCAAGTAAACCTATCTAAAGAAATATAATTTCTTTCTGAATAAATCTTTCTCGGATTTACAAAATTCATTTGAATAATATAAATGTTAAATTTTGTATATTGCTCGGGTGTGCGTGTTTATTCCGAGAGAGGCCTGCAAGAGCAGTCAAGTTATCATTCACAACCCAAGAGGGCGGGCAACTCCACACGTTGTCTAGTCTTAGCAACAAACAAGCTGCTGGGCGGACATGGTGACAGGACCGAAATAGGTACCGGCTTCCAAAATAGCTAGCAGGCTTGAAGACCGCCATTGACAGCATGACAACCGGTCTTCCTTGAGCTTGTGGCTGCAAAACAAAAATTTAGGCCCTGGAAACTAGAATTTAGGCCCTGGAAACTAGAAATACCCCCATCTGAAAAACACTCTTTCGTACTATATTTGTGAATAATGAATAGTGAGGACTTAAAATTTGAGTACAAACATTTAGGTATCCTGAGTTTAACATAGCAAAATCCCGAGTTTAAAATGGAGATTACAGAAACCTCCTTACTTCCTGAAACAATAAGTTAGTTCATTGGTTTTTAGACCGGCAAAAAGCCATATTCATTAGTTTAATTATTTAAAAATATTCCTTATTATTATGATATTTAGTCTGTGCTTTTAAGATTTACTTTTTGTATGAGATATTTTGTTTCTAGCTATTTTTCTTATAGATAGTCCTTTTAGAACATTCGTTATTATTGTATATAGATGTTATGCAGCAGCATTGGTGTTAACTGAACAAAAATGATATTTGTTATTCAATCAGTTTTGAACTTATAGTTCTAAAACCCTTGTCAAAGCTGTTTATACAATTTATTTTACTCTATTTGCACTCTTTTTACCTTTGATTTGCACTCTTTTTACTTTTGATTTGCCCTTTGTTTCCGAAAAAGAAAATAGTAGTATTTATAAAGAAAAATCAATTTTGTTTAAACCACATTGATTACGACAGACGAATCAGCAATTGCTCTGTGTTCGCTAAATACTGAAAAACGCATGGTTTTGAACGGGGGCAAGGTTATTTTATCGTTATCATTCTTCGTGATTTTTAAAGAAAACATAAGGTTATGCAATTTGTCTCCAGGCCCCTGATTTATATGAAATTGCTAATCATGAAAGAAAAGTTTCTGTTCATTTTGGTTAGTAGCCTGTTGTGATTAAAGTTTTAAAATGTGTGATTTTATGATTTCAGGCTTTTATCTGAGTGGTACAGTGAGTGAACTTCACGGCATTTGTCTTCAACGAAAGGTCTGCCACTATAAAGTTTCCATAAAATTTGACCGGTGCAAAATCACTTCGATCACGTGTACGTGTCAAAACAAAAGTATTCTATGGTGCGCCCACGCAGTTGCTTTGGCTGTATACAGAATACGGTTTGCAGATAAAGTCAACATTCGATTGCCCCTTTCGGAGTCGATATTGCAGCTGAAAACGCAGCAAGTCCAGAGTCTGTTACTTCATCTCGTGACAAAACATCCAGACTTGCTGCCTTCAGTGCAGAACTTGATTGATGAGTTCAAAGTACCAAACAGCGACATAAGCTGTGCCAATGGTGTTCCCGATCCAACCGCCGGAGCCTGCACTGATGTGAAGCCTGTATGGTATTTCGATGAGCAGCTGATCAAGAATGAAGTAAAAACCGGACTGGAACCTAACAATACTGGCAAAAACATAAGTTCCCTCCTGCACAAGGTATCATTACTTACTACGCTGGCCCTGTATTAGTTACATAGCTCTCGTAATTTACAATGCTTTATGAACCAAGTAAAAAGGAAGACCTGATATTAGCATTAAGGCTTCAAGTTCATTTCGAATCCATTAAAATGTATCTTCATCTTCATCAGTAAACCTTACTTTGCAACTAGCATCAGTTTTCAACAAATCTTTCTTGAAATGAAAAATTGTGAGCCATTTCAGAGGCCAGAAGGCCTAGGCCTTTATTAAGAGCAGCAATGACAGTGTGATGTCTTTTCAAAAAATGCCTTTTAGTAACTTTAGACTTTTGAAAACATTAAACGAAAAACACTATGCAATACATGTAAGTTTGAAATAGATTTGATACAGTAACGGTTTGGTGAGATACCTTCTATAAAATATTTGGAATTGGCTAATGGATGTCTGTTATTTTGGCCTGCCTGATAACTTTTATAATAGAAACTTGTAAAAGTCGCCTCTAATTTTTGCATTTATCTCGTTTCGTAGGTCAGGGAGATGTTTTCAGCGGATGATTCAAACGCTGTTCGACTTTTATCATTGATAACCGCGAGCTTTTTGAAAACACTGCGCCGGGTAGATAATGAGGAAACAGCAAAGATTGTGGAAAAAGTACGCAAAATATGCGACAATCTGTCTATGGTATGGGTGATCGCAGTTTTGAACCCATTCTTAACAGCAGACACAAAAAGTGAAATAAAGAGTCAGCTGCTTTCATGGCAGCAAACACTTGGCTCGTTTCAATCTGACGATAGCTTGGGGGTCGACAAGATGTTGAAACTCCCCCTGAAGGCATTAAGATGGAACTTGGATGACACTCCTGGTAGGTTCTTAACTTTGTAGCAATTAAATGCTTTATGGTAAAATTTCATTAAACTATGTTATGCTTTGATTGCTTTGAAATTCATGAAGCAAAAAATTACTGTTAAATCGTTTACCGTATTTGGGAACTCAGGTATCTCTGTTTTGCTTTTAATGATCTGTTCTTATTGTTTTTACCGTTATGTAGCTACTATCAAACATTACAGAGACTATATAGTCTTTTATTTCATTTTACATTTACATTTCTTATGTAATAAAATGACAGGACATCTTTTCAATTTGCCCTGAGAAACAAAGAAACGCTATCAATTTTTTGCATAGAAAAAATATTAAGATTAAAACTTGGAGTTTATAGATATGAAGGATATTAATAGATTTTATCATTCTTCAAGGAATGAAATCCTCGATTCTATGCTGAATAAATACTTTCTTCAGTCGGGCCTCAATCATAATCGTAACTGCAAATATTTGAAATTTCCATTAGAATTTGACTCTTGATTTGATTAAGCATTTGGCAAAAAGTTAAGAAGCGAATCCCATATACTGGATTAAGTTTCATCATCTCTAAATTGTGTTGTTTCCTTTTTATTAACAGGAGATGTTGTTTGTGCTGCAGCCTACGCCGATGCATTTGGATGTCATGGCTTAAAACAGGAAGCTCTTAGCATAGCTGTTAAGGTTGCCGAAAAGTTCAGGACCTGTTTCAGTGAATTGTTTATCTGTCCGGATCAGCGCGACGGTTGGCTAGGGCACAGCCTAGATCCAATTAGCATCATTTTTGATATTTTGCGGTCAGAGGCTGAATCACAAGCTAAACCTGATGTTTATCTGCCGCTAGCTGTCCATGTCGCCTTTGCTGGGCTCGGCCAAATGAAACGTCTCCCTTCTAATAAATACGAACAATTACGTCTCTGCCACAGAGAAGAACAACTGATCGCCCAACTCGAAGATCTCGACTTCAGTTCAAGCTATCTTCGTCCGGTTATTTGCCAGCTTTGCCGGGAACTGCGTAGCCGGAACATTCCAAATGACGGCACCTCGCCAAGTCACAGTTTTATAAGGTTTCTTGTTCGTCAGATGATTCCATTGGATAAAGACCTGGCTTACAGTTTCAGTTTAAATTTGTTACCTTTAGATCCGGTTATTTCACTTGAACAGCATGACCCGGACAGCAGAAACATCGTGGCGGATGAACCGACCTGTCACATCATGTCCCATTTGGAATCACAACAAAGCGAACTAGCAGCGACATTATTGAAAGGTTGTTACAACAATACGACACAACTTGAATCAGTTGTACGAGCCGTCGTTAACCAAGTGAAAGGACCGTCGCAATTATTTAGATTAGCTAAGCTAGTAAATTCATTATTAATGGAAAATCCGGAACATTGTAGCAAGACATGGAAAGATAGACTCATTACTGCTGCGGTTGTACTTGGCACAAAAGCTGTCCAGTTAACGCTAAATGCAACATCGTGGAACCGACAGGAAATGATCCGGTGGCTAGTCACATCAACAGTTCGAATAGGCAAAAATGCTGTTCTTTCTTTGCTTGCCCGCTGGTCTGATCTTTTCAAACCGGAAGAAATGAGCATGGACATTGCTGCAGTTCTGACGTCACAGCCAATTCTTTTTCAGCTGGGAATGTCAAAAGAAGAGGAGAAAAGCTTCTTTTCGAAACTGCGCAGCATTGTTATTGAAAGCGCCATTCAAGACCCACCATCTTGTGCTCTGTTTGCTCTAACACTCTGCGAAGGAGATTCAGAACCTTTCGAGTTGGCTTGTCAAATTGTCAACGAATCAGCAAATAGATTGGGAGCCGTGCATTTGTTCTCCATCGCACGATACCTTGAGAGCAAAGGACATTCTAGAAAGGCATTGAAAGCAGCCACACTTGCTATCAAGCAGCTAGACATTGGAACCGAGTATGAGACGCACCCAGCTATTAGTGACGTCTTCTGGGCATGCGCATTGGCATCCTCGTTGGGAAAGGACGAGCTGACACAGATTACACCGATTGTTTGTCACTGTATTCGAAATCCTGTCGTTTTAGCTGAGATTGCGCGTAGGGCGTCGGTAACGTTAAACGTCGTATCAAATGGAACTATCGTCAAGGAAAAGACCAAATTCTCTTGCAATAAGGAGCCGTTGAACCGTCTACTCGCCACAGCACAGCAGCTCTTTGTAAGAGAAGTTCAAGGGAAGCTTGGCAATATATCGCCAAAGTTTTATAATGACTTTGTCAAGTATCTAGAAAAGGTGAAAGCATGCTTCTATCTTATCGATGAAGGGCACGAACAAGTGGCTATTAGACTTTATTGCAACATCACAACGGGGAAGACGAAAACTATTGAGATTAATCAAAGAGACACTGGCAAATTGAAGTAAAACATCCAATGATCTTTAAGTAAATAGACACCCATCGAAATCTGTAAATTATCTTAAAAATATTCTCATTCTATTTCACGGGCATTCAATTTTGATAAATTTTGGGATATAAAGACAATTATTAAATTGGTTTAATTCGGAAGTCCAAAGGAAAATTTTGCGATCTGCCTTGAAAACTGAACATAGCAGGGTGATTGATGCATGGCTCACACAACTAAATCAATTGAGAGCACAATATTAAACTTTTAAGGAGAGTTCTTTGGAATTGTTAATTTAAGAAAATATATCAATGTAAATGTAAATATACATGTGAATAACTAAATGTTTCTTGGAAATAAACCATCTTAACAAATTCTAAAACCTCTCCATGTAAACTCGTTCTTTGATCCAATCTTCCCACACTCCTTTGGAGCTCCATGCCGTCTTACGCGGAGTAGTACAACGTTTTAAACAAACTGCTGCTGTCTATAGGCCGGGCTGCCTCTTATCCAATAGCTTAAGCTTCAATTTTAAGGCTCTTGGATTTATTAGCTAAAGGGTGAAGATGGCCTAAATTGCGATCTTGTTGTTGGTTTGCGAAGAATTTATAAAAAACTGGACTCTTGTCGGATTTATGGCTCTTACTTTGAAAAGGACGCACATACAGCTAACAATGTGTTTGTCGATTTTTTAAGTTTTAAACAGGCTGTTCTGTTTAAGAAAAGGACTTATCTCACAGTGCTCTGTCTGTGAAAGCTCTTTTCCTATGAATTAGTAGGCCCATTGCCTTTAGTCGGCCCATTGACATCATAGGCCCATTGCAATATAAATGTAAATAGTTGTAATGTAGTATGTGAATTTAGTTTTCATGCGTGAAAGTTGTTGTTCTTGTTTATTATACAAAGAAGAAAGTAGTTTTTTTAATCAGCTATGTCCAGAGGTTTTTTCAAAGTTTTATAGAAAACATTTGGTATGATATTTATCAAAGATGTATTTATTCCTGATGAGAAATTTTATTTTAGATGTAGTTGTTGCTGTCAGTAAATTTCGTTGATAATAAAAATATCAGTAAAGATGATGGTTTTCTTCTTATATGACTTTCTAGAGGGCTTTCATGGTTTGACATGGCTTCAATCATAACCATTATAATGTTTTGGTATATGCACGCCTCCTTTAGAAAATGAGATCTGTTTTAGGAAATTTGTGAATTCACGATAACATGCATGGATTAAATTGAATTGCCAATTATATTTCCACTGCAGCATAAAATCTTGCGTTTCACATTTCGTCGAATTTTATTGTTGACTCGAAGTTACTTTTTAAAGCTTTCTACTCATGTTTTGGCTATGGAGGTCATAGCTGGATTTAGAGACCTCCCAACAATTCTGGCAGTAAACTTTGATACCTTTGTGAAAGTGGCAGCAGTAGGGAGTTTTTAGTTCAGAGCTGTTTTCTCAGTTGATGAAAGAATAAGGGTTCAGCATACTGAAGGAGAACTACCTTGCGTAATCTTCCAGTCGCGAAAGATCAATACTTGCTCAAGAAAAAGAGGCTGATATTTTGAATAGGTAAGCATGTTGCACTAAAGAAGTGATAATCATTTTAGTGTATATAAAAGCTTATTTTGTCAATTGTTTCAAATGACACAAATGAATGCTGGCAGCAATTTAAGTGTGCTTGGTGGTGTTGTGAAGCGGAATACACCTAGTTTATCTTTGCGATGGTAATTCCTCTACAAAACGCAGACATTCATCCAAATTGTTATCAAGTAGATAAATGCAGAAATGGTTCACAGCAAAGCATCAAACACCTTGAACATTCTCGAATAGTTTAGAAAATTTTATTTAATTAGTATCAATAAAGTTTAACTGCAAAGTGATGATAACACAGAACGCTTATGTGGCAGAAATATCAAGCACTAACTTTCAATAGAAGTTTTCTAAATGAACTGTTGCAGTCTTAAATGAACGTGATGATAAAGTGGTAGTGTTGCAGTCTTTGCGAAAAGATTAAAGATTAAAGGCAATCTGTCACGACGTTGATTGGTTATAAGAACAAAGGGATTTCTATTGTTTCCAGTCCCTCTTTAATTTATCGAATTGTAAAAAATATGGCGGAGCGCTGGAATCATGTTTAGGCTATTGTTCCAGCTATTGTTCTCGTTAACCAATCCACAACGAGACAGATTGCCTTTAACAATGTACTCACTTCTTAATAGTACTCATTTTTTCACCTTATAGCATAGAATATTTATGTGGCAAAAATATCGAGCACTAACTTTCAATAGAAGTTTTCTAAATGAACTTGCCCCCTGTTTTACAGCCATGATGGTGAAGTGGTAGTGTTGCAGACTTTGTGAAAAGATTAACAGTAATCACTTCTTTGCAATTCTTTGCAATTTTGTTTATACCAGTTTGCAGGAAAATAAAGTCGAAAGTTAGTTAGTTCTTAGAAAACCTTGCAACACCGAGGTTTTTGATCGAAAAATTATAGAGACGGCGCCAGCTCTTGAAAAATAGACTGGACTTGAGATCTAGAGAAACAAACAATGGTAATTTTTGTGACCATGCCCTTTTCAAAAAATAAAGTCACGCATTTCAAAGTAAGACAATAGAAGGAAGAACACAGTAAACTTTGAATCGAAGAATATTGGTAGAAAGATCAGAAAAAACTATATGGAAGTTTACAATTATAAGCAAGTTTGAAAAGTTCTACTAATTATTCAAGTTCAATTATGTCAGCAGTTTCTCGCTCGCTGATGGACAATGATTTGGTTTCTTCAATCAAAATTCCATTTAAAGGGATATTAAGCACAATAACTTTGTTCTGCAGAAAAAGGGGGGACAATGGCCCCCCAAGCCCTGGTTTCGCCGGCCCGTTAAAGCTAAAGACCCTTCATGTGAGTAGCAAAATTTAGAAGCAGGCTATTGAAGCGTTTTCCTCTTAAGGACGACATGCCACTAGGAAGAAAGGAGCGTCGACAGGGTACATAGTATTCTTTACAATATCCCATTATGACAATGTTTTCGTGCATCATGTAACCAACGACCCCCATTTGATGATTCTTCACTGATTTATTACAAAGATAACACTGGTCTGCATCGTTAGGTCATAGCACTTAGATTGCAGACTGTAGCTTCGTGCTTTGACTGGGCACAAAATATTTACCATCAAAGCCATTTTATCAAAGCTCTCGAAGAATGCTCCAAGAAGTGACTCTTTTCTCAGCGAGGCTTGAATTTAAGAGGTACTATTATAGTTGAGTGCAGAAAGGTGCCTTTAGTATAGAAATGCTCTGTAGAGTTCTCGATTTGGGTGCAAGGGTGAAAGAGTCTTGATGGGTGTTAATGTATAGTATTGAAACTGACGTCAACAGACTCTTTTTGCTGATACTGTTTCAATCAATTAAATTGGCACAAATAAAACAAAGATACGAATACTTTAAACTCCATTAAGTGTTAAAATCTAAGATACCTAAATATCATGGAAAACACTGATATACAGTATTTTTATGCAGAAGGTAGGGGGCATTAGAAAAATGAATGGTTCAGGGTCCCTATGATGTTGGGTTGGGGTTTGTGCACATGATCTATCCTTCTTACCTTGTCTGGCATGATTTATTGAGAGAAACCAAAGATTGGGTCAGACTTTTAATAAATGCTTGAAGTACAAGAAAAAATTACTTCAGTTTCCACTGCTTTAAAGTTTAGGATACTAAACGTCACTTTCAATGCAAAAAGAAAGGTCTGCTCGATTCTAGCGGTTTTCAACAATTTTGGGGTTTCGGAACTCAAGGGTTTTTTATCCATAGGGAGACCAAAGGGGACAACTGACACTATTTTGGCACTAAACTGAAAATGTTGATTGTGTCACACGCTCAATCTTAGAATGGGAGCCCTTCAAGGGTCATTTTGGAAAACGAATATATCTGGAGTATAGAAAAATTCGATGAAGGGAAGATGAATGAAGCAAAAGTTAGAATACTTTGAAATTTGAAAGGAAGGGTACCAGATTCGGGCGAGAGCCAACGCTTCAGTATACAAAAGTTTGACCGGTAACCGGTATGGAAATAAATTTGAAAAGTCACACTGTAATGTAATTCTTAGACATCACGATACATAGATTCAATTACATTACTATGAGGATTTTCCGTTAAGGAAACCAGCTATAATTACCCCAAAGAATTAAAGGGAAAAAGGGATGGACAAATGCCAATGGAGTTAAGGCTATTGAATGTACTCATGGTTCGTGTAAAACTGTTATCAGTCAACTCTGCAAGACATTTTTATTCTTTTGTTCTGATCTTATCCAAATGAGGTATTTCCAAGATAATGCTGCAAGCTTTGTGATTTAATTCAACGTTCTCATTCATACTATCGACAAAATCTGCTTCTCCTGATTTCCGACCAAAAAGCTTTTCCCAATAAATATTCCAAAAAGTTCAAGCCAATAGCTTTCGTGCCTTTCCTCCTCCTCGACAAGCCACGTTGCAATTGTGATTTACTTTGATAGACAGTCATCAAAAGGTCAAAGGCGATTTTCTTCAGAAAAGCATTGGAGCTTTGAAAAGCACACAAGAAAAGCACTCAGTGTTATAAACCTAAGCAACCAAAGAGCGGACATTCAACCTTTACGCATGCTGTTATGGGACAAAGGTGTACAATATGAAAATTGTTCTTAAATTTGAGAATCTATTGGTAACCTTCGTTACCATAAATGTAGCCAGCGCATAAACAATACTTTATTTCAATATCAATTCTTAGTCGTTATATAGAAGATTGTAGTACCACAAAATTGGTACCTAGGGACAAGATGGATCAAGAATAAAGTTGTTGAGAATAAAGAATAAAGAATATTTTTCATAAATAACGAAGACTAGAGAAAAAAGATCAAGACTAAAACCAGTTGCTGAAAGGGAAGCATTCTCTCTGTCCCTCTCTGTCTCAAATGCCCCCTCCCCCTGACAAATTATTGGATAATGTTATTCTGGGTAGTTTTGGGCGTAGAATTTGAACCTGGATGTTGATCGGGCATGCGAAAAGGTATTTCCAAGAAACGAAGGAGCGAAGGGGACATTTTATGTTTCACTGTATAAATCGATTTTGCAAGGTGAATATGAGATAGCCATGATGCAATGTATTTCTATGGGATGGCAAGAAATATGAATTCCCTATTTTTAGGGGAGGTGGCGATATTTCGTGATGATGGCTTCCTGGCGAGGGGTCTCTCAAATCTTTTCGAATCTTTCATTTAAAGATAAGACTTATATAAAAAAGAATGTTAAAATTTGTCTATGGCCGGCGTTATTCCAATATTTTCATGCACACAGCAGCTTATTCAGAATTCATATTTAAATAGATCACAATTTCACTTAAAGCAAAATAAATTCTATCAAGCAGGTACACAGTCAAATTAAAAATGAGATAGAGGGGGGGGGGGAAGGTTAAAAAATCATTTTTGAAATACAGTAAAGCCTTGCAAATGGAACAAGAATTGATCAGTTTCCCCGCAACATGGCCATTTTTGCGTTCAATGAAACCTCTAACAAAGGATACTTGCCAATAAACACCATCTTCAAAAACACGCTAATGAATTTATTCAAAAGTTTCTCTCTTACGGTCAAACCTTTTTTAAGAAGCTTCCAGAAAACTGACACCTTTCTACAATGGACGCTTTTTACAACGGATATCTTTCTATAACAGACACCTTTCTACAACGGACACCTCTCTACAGCGGACAGCTTTTATGGTCTGAGCATCCGCTATGAAACCTTAGAATTTAAGATCTTACAGACTGTTTCTCTTCATCCTGTATTTAAAGACCTTTTCTCGGCTGAGAAAAACAGAAGACTCTTCATGTAATAAGTATCCATGTGAACTTTGCAATTTTGAAAAGAATCATTTGTAATTGCAGTCTGCATGTTGGCAGTTTTGATCTACACACCCACAAATACCTGTATTTTTTTCAAAAACATTTTTGTCTTAGAGAAAAAATTGAACTGAAGTGAGCTTATATAAGATATTTTGGCTCCTCTCTCTTCAAAATGCAAGGAATATTCTTCTGGAATAAGAACCTTTGAACCTGAATTCTCAACAGGACATGCAACAAGTCAGAAATATTAGGACTCAAAATTGACTATCTTAAAATTCACTCGTTTTCTTTCAAGCATACATAGTAGCGTGCCTTCATTTGACAGACGACCGAGCGTGGTAAGAGCAGTCTGTGAATGCTGGTGCCCTGTTATCGATGTTTCATCGTGACCCACGCTCTTCATTATCAAACCGTTTACCAGAAAAAAGACACGAACCTCCATAGCATCTAAGAAACGAGCACAAGTCCTAAGCTAGTTTCAATTTCTCTTGGAAAATTTGTGACCGTCTATTGAAACGTCACTTTAATTAAACTTTCGTCTGGCTACAAGCTTTTTACCCTGGGTGTACGAGACTCAATCAAAATATGATTTTAATAGAGTGAGTCTGGTCGCCGGGGTACAAGTTTATATACTTGTAGTGTTTATGATCTGCATTTCTTGCGATATATAGTTTATATATCTCACCCACATTGCTTGGTCAATACAGTGGCGGAAATTGTTTTAAATTAGGCACAAAAGACAAAGCATTAAGCGAAATTTTTGGCATATTCCCCCCTCCCCCTTCCCCCGCTATTGGTCCATCGCACCATTCTCTCTGTAACATTTGCGTTGACATACCGCTCTTTTATCTATCTTCAAACAAGACAGATTATTCACGTACAAACATCTGTCATGCATTTTTTATTTTAATGAAGTAACTATATACACAGCATATTCAAAATATCTTAAAAAAGAAATATTCCAGCGGAGATAAGCGACCGACCCTTCCCATTCTCATGAAACGTCGCGTCGGAAAGAAAGTTGATAAGATTCTGGCATGCGAAATCTAACATAGGAAGCACACGGCTACCTTCACATAACCCGAAACAACATCGTCAGATTCCAGGCTTAGAACGTGTAAGTTCCTTTTAGGGGTTTTAATTTACATGTAAAACACACAAAAAGCTCAAATTCCTGCTGATATAAAGAAGCGAATATCTTTGCCATCTTTTCAACTAACCAACTCCTTTTTAATTAGTAAGTTACAAAAAAACTGAGTTGAATGGAACGCTTGTTGGAAATAGAAAGATACATTAACCGCGATATCAACAAGGTATAAAGCAGAAAATAGTCATGACAAATTATGACGGTCCTTGTTCAGGCAAGTACAATTCAACCAAGCTTTGCCAACAAAAAGCATTTGTTTTAGTAGATTTGACTACGTTTTAAAGGACACTCAGCTATACGACTTCAGTTTGCAATTTATATATTGTAAGTAAAAAGGATTCTTAAACAAAAGCGGTAAAAGAAAGCGCACGTAGAAAAAAGGAAATAATCTTGCCTCAGGACTTGAGGCATTCAACAGGCATCATGAAGCGTTGAGAAAAAGTGGGGGGTCTAAAGGAAGTGGGGGGGGGGCTAAAACTGTATAAAAAGAGGCTTTACTGGTAGTTTATTACCTGATATTTGGCATTTTATGCAAAAAGCCCCCCTGCTCTGCGGTGCCTGTTCATTTCTCACGAAAACGTGAATATCGAGTGGCGAATCACTGCTTAAAATCACTTACGCTCTCAAGAAAAATCACACTTTCATCACAAAATAATCACATTGATAAAAAAATCAAATTAATCACGAATTATAACATTAATTATAAAAGTTACTTAAAACAAATATTAGAATCCTTGCCCACTTTTATCCGGACATGTTATTGAAAAATACAATATTTAGAATTTCCCTTTCAAACTTTTCCAATCTTTTCATGGTCACGTTGGAAAATCTGCAAAAATGAAGGCCTCGTTATGATGCCGGGGTCACTGAAACAACGATTGCTGTTTTTGTTGCCCAAATGCTACTGATGTTGATATGACCGAAAACAACGCCTGATGGCAGTCATTTTTCATCCATTGCTACAGGAGCGGATCCAGACAGTTCCTGATTTCGCAGTTGCAACTGTTACATTTATGTTAAATGATTTATGTCAGATTCTTGTAATTTCCACGGATAAAGTTTGATAATCAAGTTCCATATTGCTGGAACTTGTAATTTTTTATATCGGTGAAAGTTTCCGGAATGTCAGTTTAATTTCCCATTAGCGACATCACTTGCGAGGGCAGAGAACAGAGCACATGCATTTGTCTTAATGTCTTTTGCCAGGTGTTCAACAACTGTTTACTGTTTTTCATCCAAGGCAATTTCCATCCATGTTACTAATGCTACTGTATAGAAAAGATAGCTCTTTTAATGCATATTAAAATTTTGAAAAAGAGCGTAGATGGCCCACACAATAGAAACATCAATTTGCCTTATTGTCTTTCACAAGTTGATCAACAACTGTTCGCTGTTTTTCATCCAAGGCTATTTTCATCCATGTTGCTAATGCTAAAGTTCAGGAAAAATAGCTCTTTTGATGCAAATTCAAATTCTTATGACGAAAGTTGACGACCCAAAGAAAAGAGCACGTGCATTTGTCATAATGTCTCATTTAAACAACTTTCATCAACTTTTCACTGCTTTTCACTTCAGGCTACTGTCACCAACCTATAATACTGATTTAATATTTTGCTTATGCTGCTGTTCAGAAGAGATATCTCTTCTTTTGCAAATCTGCAACGCTAAAAAATTTTTCTGGATCCACCCCTGTGCTGAACTGCTATTTTTTTATTTTCAAATTCATATAGTATGTTGCAAAATAGTTGACGACGTTTATTGAGCATGAAATTATTTGAGAGCACTTTTGAATCTATGATTCAGTTTCTAAAGAATCGAAAATCAATAAAAAAATTAATAATTATTTTCACTAAACATCAAATTAATCACACACAAAATTGATTTAATCACAAATTAATCACTAGCGATTATTAATATCGCACACCATTTTCAAGAGTGATTTTCCCCTCGGTGAATTTAATGTATCAGTAGAAAACAGGGAGCAAATGAAGCAACCAGTAAATAGATTCATCAATAGTGTATGACGGGTTTAGGGAAGGAAAGCAGAAAGGAAATGCGGTCGTGAACTTTAGTATGGCATAAATAAAACTAAGACTAACCAGAATTATTCGAGGCTGCGACAATGCAGTCAAAAAGGAACATTTGACTCTGAAATCCAATAAGTATTTGAAGTTCAATAAGTAGATTAACGTATTTTACTTCAACACTGGTCCTTGCTTCGAATGGGACCAGAGTCATAGTCTACATCGAATTACCAAATCTTCACCTCCTAGTTTCATGCGAAGTTCACATTTTAGCCTTTCCTTTTAAAGGCTTACCTCTTCATTGCCAATCCTCCTCTTCTTCTTCATGGCAGATAATTCATCTTTCGAAGACTACCGAAATTCAAGCCCAAGCTGCCATTAGAAAGACAGTGTCTTCAATCAAATCAGAAGTTCAGACTTCTTTCAGCCGTGACAGCCAATGAAATAAAACATTTTCAAGTGTAAATTTGTATGATTTAAAAACAAACAACAATTTAGTCACAATCAAAGGAAAGTACACAGCGACAAAGTGACTGTGGAAATTAAATATTTCTATAAACTTATCATCAATACGTAGCTATTCCTATAATTATTTTGCCCTATGTCCCAAAAGCAAAACTCACACAGAAACCGTTCGATCTTTCAAAGAAACCTCTGAAGCAGCAGGTCAACTTTGATATTCGATGTTAAATGGTTGATCACTAACAAAGGGTATCAAGAAAGACCATTTGAGGGTTGAATAAGACAACGACATGCATAGAAGGAGATAATTAAATGCACTGTAGAAAAAAGGAAAGACGAAACGGTAAGGAAACGTTTAATTTTGAATATTTTGTAAACGGGACTACGGGAATAAATTATTAGCCATTAAACAACAAGAAAAAGATCACATCATTTATGTATTCTTTATTTTGCAAAAATGAGCAACTAGCAAGAACTTAGAATAAATTACATAATTTTACAGTATATAATCGATTCCACTATTACGACGTAAGAGCGCTGAATAGAAATTCTTACACATGAAAACTTTCACCACAGCCACACGTTCCTTTAATATTTGGGTTATTAAATACGAATCCACTGCTAAGTTTATCCTCAACATAGTCCATCTCAGTGCCAAGAAGAGTTAATTGTGCTTTTGAGCAAATAAAAAGCTTCACACCTATGAGATAGAAGGAGAACATCAAGGAGTGTGCCTGTCCATGGCCTAAAAATGGTTAAAAATCACAACAGTAATGATCTGAACATACATATGATCATAACAGCTTTAGTTAGCATATTGTCATTTTCACAAACTATCAAAACAGAGTAAGAGAAAACCAAAGAGAATTAGCATACAGAAATTTGCTGATAGAAAACGTAAGTTAGGGTTCTAAGAAGAGTAGGAGATACTCAACAATAACAGATGGGCAAGAAAAGAAAAAGGATTTGAGAAAGTATGCTAAGAGAACATTTGAGTGAGGGGTACGACCAGGGCAGGTTTTAGTCCACCAACAGCGAAAGGGTACTTCGTCGTTCTACCACTGAAATCACAGAATAGGCAGATGTGACTGTGCCATGACTGCATAGTAGATTAGCACCTTCAGCCAGGAACCTTTTTATATAGACGACTTGATATAAAAGATAGCATAGGTTGTTAGATGTCTGAGCTGGCGGTAAGCCTGCTGCTCGCTTTTAAAAATCTCATAGCAACATACTACAGCATGGTCAATCCTTGCCTGTTTGAACAAAAGAGGTCTTATAAGTTTATCGACAGTACTGGACAGATGCAACGCATTGCTGCAAGCAAAATTAGGCCATTGTCCCTTCATATACCACGTGATATCACGTCTCTATATTTTGTCTTTGGGAAGAGGCCTTAGAAGCCTTAGAATGAAGGGCCTAGCTACGAAACCAAGTAGGATCGACACGTCTATACGACTAACGAATTAATTAACATAAATAACTACCATATCAACAAGAGGACACACCAAAAACCAGTTACGATTGGTGAAAAGTGTCCAACCAATATTTGAAAGAGCTTCAAGCGTAACAATACTGCACGTGAAAGGTGTTTTGCAAGACCAAAGCACATTCAATTATCTATGTAGCCAAATATCATATTCTCTACCGCGAGGCAAGACGACATAAATTTGCGAAATTTTATCCACGAGTATCAGTGAAGCCGCGTTTTTTACCAGACTTTATTTTGCCAAACCACCTTGTACTTCCGCGCGGCAAAAAGCTTTAAATCTATTATCTTCTTTCCAACAGTTTCAGTGAAATGGTGGCAAGACCAAATATAGCATGCTTTGTAACTGACTGGATTTCGTCAAGCCCCCTTGTGTTTCCGCGCGGCAAGATACTAAAAATATACGAAATTCTATCCAAAAGCTTCAGCGAAGCTGTAGCAAGGCCAAACAAAGATTAAGCCCTGTACCACGCTGGATTTTGTCAAGCTTCCTAGTACTTCCGCGCGGTAAGATACTAAAAATATATGAAATTCTATCCAACAGTTTTAGGGAAGCTGTAGCAAGGCCAAACAAAGATCATCTTTTATTACAGACTGGATTTCGTCCAGCAGTTTGATGAAACGAATTGGCATTATGTAATTACAAAGCTTATCTGAGCATTTAATCCAAGCAGCTGGACCCTGCCCAGCGGCGCTCCCAGATCATCCCGTTGTACAATAGAACGGCTCGAAGGTTAATTTAAGATTAAGAAGCGCCACATTTTCCTCTGATCGGATGCTGTAAGTCTGCGTTTTCGTCTATTTTAAATAAAAACAGGCGACTCGCAGGTTTAGCGTAAAGCCGCTTCGCATGAACAACCTGTAGTGGAAACGCCCACAAAGTCTCTTTACATCAATAACGCCTTTTCATGACTCAAATTTCAACAAAAATTCCGATAGACATTTTTACGAGGTACTTCAAAAAGTCGGGAATACAACAATTACTTTGATTATCAATGAGGAGCCCTTTTCAAAGCTATTTAAAACACGCAGCAGTATCCTTAATACAGCAAATAGGGAACATAAGTTGTTAAAATGTCCCTATAGAAAGTACAGCAAAACATCCGACTTCTTTGTCAAGACTGAAAGCTGATTCTGCTTGCCTTTCCACCATCAAGCATTACGTCATTGGTTTCAAGACCTTTTTCCTCAACAATGATTCAGATGTTGCCCTTGTACTTGAGGGCTTTTTATCGAGAAGAGAGAGAATCTGCACACGTTTTCTAAATCAACTCGTTTTTATCTGGTATGCTTTACACCGTTAGTAACTTTAAACCTCCTTGAAATGGTTCAGTAAATCTTTACATAAATCAAAAGCTTATTGAATTCTGGCCTCAAACAGACCTTGCCCACTATTTACGGACCTCTTTGGCTGAATAGAATACACAAATAAAAAAGAAGCAAAACAATATTCATACCATCTTGATTGACTTCTTCATCAAACTTTTTCTTTTCATTTGAATATTCTAGAGTATATGATAATCCATTGCAACCTCTCTCTTTTACACCAATTCGCATGCCAGCCTTATAAAAAATACTTCTGTTGTCATTAAGGACATTCATATTGTGACAATCGTTAATATAACATAGTTTTAAAGGGATATTCTGTCAAAATAACTACATTTACACGAAGGTTTCTGGCTGTGACAAATACATTGTAGAATTTTTACGAAAAATATAAAGTTTGCAAATTTCTATTTGATAACTTTTCAGATAGAATGTAAATCTTCTTCTGGGCCCAATTTGGCGACAATTTTCAATAAAAACTTAAATATAACATCGGGAAAGAAAGCAAAAAGATTGTAGGAAAAGCCCAATATGCTTGAAAATAGAGAGACGGCTTTTGCTTTTTTGACAAAAGGCTAGTAGTACATTCATTGAGAATCATACTTAGTGGACCGTTTTAACTGTTAAGCTACCCTGAATATCAATTTTTTTTACTATCCTAGCGACACGGTGACAAAAATCTACTCTCATCTACAGAAGAGATGGCTCAATAAACTGTCTCGAAGCCCGCGGAGCTGTGATTCAAGTGAGACAAAAGCTGCAATAGTGGCCTATATCATTGAGATTTGTAAATAACTCTGTAACTATAAAAATGTCCATTGTTAATCAACGGAATTCAGGTTTTCATTGTAAAAGTGTTTCTCTTCATTCTAAAGAAGTTTTATAAACAAGATAATGGAAAACAGCCTTTATCCAAAAACAGATTTTTTGCTGGTTTGCCCCACCTGAGCGATTTGAACCAGCTATCGAACAAAAGAATTCCATCATGACATCGCGAACTCAGAAATGGTCTTTAGCTATCAGGGATGGTGCAATACATTTTAACCTTCAATATATTGTTTAAAATGTTAAGAAAGGTCTAGTAACACAGCTCAGAACAAACAGGCAAAGCGAAATTAAAGAAACTCTAAAGAATTGGCAGGGTAGCAGACATTTTTTAAGAGAGCTCAAGGGATTACAAGGGGTAGCAAACATTTTGAGTTTGTACCATATAATTAAAACTCACATATTCTTTATTTTCTTGTAAAAGACCTTTAACTCTGCTTACAGCAGCTTGGGTCTGTGAAAAAATAAAATGGAAAAATATACTGACTGAATTGAATATAGGCATAAATCTTCAGAAACCAGGAAAAGAAGGGTAAATTCTTATAATAAAATTTTGTGGGATCGAAAAATTAATATGTGGGAAATCGAAAACAGGTGAAACAAAACAATTTAACATTAATCTTTTTTCATGAAATAGACATTAATCTAAACGGGGCTAATTTACTAAGAAGGACAATAAAATCATACACAGGGAACCATCAAATAAGCATGTAATGATGAGTGGTAAATTGGTGTTCTTTTTGTGACAGATTTTACTGGGGTTATGGATTTATGCTGCTATCAAATGCTAAAACAACTCTTTCGATCGTTTAAAGGGAACCCCTTTATCTTCATTGTGAATATAAAGATTTTATTGTTTGTAAAAAATTCCCTAAATTTTCTTTTTTTTAAATATTTTTCAAAGGCATAGTTTACAACAATAAATGACATGTCAGTGTTTAATTGTCTTGAAAATGAAGTCATTTTTACTCTGCTCCATTACTTGCAACATTAATTAGGGATTTGCAGGTCCTTTATCAAAAATAGATATTCCATTTGTGATAGATACTGAGTTAAGAAGTACCATCACCTCACCTCATCATATGTAACACATGGAGCAGAATTTTGTCGAGAAGTGTATAATTGATATAGTAAAGCAGGCTGTGGAAACCATTACAAATTCACTTAGCAGATAATTTATCAGAGTAAAATAGTGAAATTAAAGAAACCAATAATAATTTAAAGTAATCTCCAAAGGGCACAAGTCACATTAGCTATTTTTGTTACTTTTTTAGATGACTTTAACTTTTGTACAGGCATACATATGTGAAAGAGCGTGAATGGGAAAGAGAAATGCTTATCTTGTGGTGTTCTTCTAATGACTTGAATTGGATGATGATTTAGTTGCATGAAAGAGATTCAAAGATGGCCCACTGGCAATAACAAGCTGATCCACTAGCAATTGTTTCTAAAAATTTCACTTCAATTTCATGTCAGCAAAGCCAATTCCAGGTCTTTTTAGGAAGAGATTTTCACAAGGGTGACTAACTGCCCATAGTTAATAAGAGAAAAGTCCTCCAGGGTCAGAAAGAGGCATAGAGGATGTCAGTTGACCATGACTGCTTAACTTTTGTTTCTAAATGCACGATTACAATCAATTTTCAAACAAACCATTTCAGGTAACTTCAATTATGAAGCAATAACACTTTTTTCAATAGCAACTTACCCTCTCCAGTCTTTGTAATATTGAGCATGCGATCGCATGCACACGCCTCCACACACGTCCAAATTTTACAAAGCGTGCACATCATCGCAGGCCCAAAACAAAATTGCTTAGGTTTTGAAGATTTCTAAAGCAGAGGAAAATCAAAGTCGCCCAATTTAAATGCAGTTCTGATGTCTTCCAAAGTGTTGTTAAAAGGTATTCCCATACGGAATTCAACAATGGCATCACAAAGTGGTTACGACAAGATCACTTAACATAACAGTTATTTAACCAAGGGCAGATGAGTAGCCCAACCTGTGCACTCTAGCACAGATAATTAATTGTGATCTCTGGCCCAAATTCTTCAGTAGAGAGAGCTTTCAGCATTCTCAGGATGTTCATGTTGGATAGAAGACTACAAATGCCATACAGTGTTATGGAGATGAGATGTTATGGGTATTGCAATCAATGATAATACATGAACTGACGGAGAAAGAGAAAATATCTTGAAAAGGGCAACAGAGCTCTATCTAAGAGCAGAAAGTGAAAGCTTGATAATGGCATCAGTAAATCAAAGAAACCAAAGCTAGAAAAAAAGGAGGAAACTGAACAAAGCTCTGACAAAGAAGAAAGTGATGATGACAGTGCGGTTTTTTAATCATTTTGAACTGTTTTCAAACAAGAGTTAGTTGATGAATCTGACGCTATGCAAGATATCTGTTGCATCAAATTATATAAAGATTGTTCTGCAAGTTTATCTTAAATTTAATTATATATTTGTTCTATATAATTATATTTGTTTTGATAACATCTAATAGATAAAAGTATATTATTCATATTTGATTTGTAGTATCACAAGTTATCACTTCTTGGTGTGAAATACAGAGGGTAAGCCCCATTCCAAGCTCCACTGAAAAAATCCAAAGAAATAAACCTGCTGTCAGCTCTTTTGCTCAGATTATATGACACAAATATCTGATACTAGTTTTCCCAAGTCTAAGACATTGACTTGTTTGTTTCAGAATGGTCAGAGTTAAGATTTATTGATGCATGGCAATTATTTTATCATGAAAAAGCAGGAAATGTTTTCATTACCAAAGCACTTTACCACCTCCTTATCTGAGTAATCCAGACAATTAAAATTTTAACAGATTTTCACCTTTTGTTTTAAGTTTGTTTACCACTATGCAGGAATCTTAATAGATTTTTATTGCTTTGTTAATTGGGTATCGAAAAAATTTTTGATTGATATTTTTCTGATTGATAAGGAAAAGGCAAAGGCAAGGACCTTATTTCTAAAGTGCAGTAAACAATTCATACCAAAGTTATTGGAGCTCTGAGTGCTCTGATCCTCCCTGCTTTGCTTACAGCCCGAATTGATGCAGTTGCTGCTATTCTGCTTGCCATCATTTGCTTATAGACTTCTTCCTAGGTAGGCTCATGTCCCAAAACATCACAACTGTGAAGCCATTATGCAACAAGATTCAAATACAGGGGTCCGAGCTGCTTAATCTAACTCCTTCGCATCAGACGTCTGATGATCAGTGCTGATGATGCGTCTGCGCAAGAATTTAATTGGGAATTAAATATACTACTTCTGCTCCAACTGATGTTTTCTCCCGCATCATTACTTTCGTTTTTATTGCAAGCTTTTATTGAAAATATTGCAGTACACAGTAAATATAGCAAATAGGAGTCTTCCAATTTCTTTTGTGTTTACTGTTTAGTGTCCAAGATCTGCTTGTTTAATTAAACCTCTTTTCAGTTGAAAAATACACCAAAAAAAGTGTATTGGACTTCCTTACAATGCCAAAATTGCTTGCCCTTTAATGGTAATTCCCCCCAACAACCAAAGTTCTCTTAACATGATTGTGCGCTTGAAACTGGCCTTCGCGATTTTCTGAAACAATTCATCTCAGGTAGGCTCAACTTTCAAATTCTTTTGATGGCAGCGGCCTTATAAAGTGTAGCCAGCTTTTATATGCCTAGTATTTTCAAATTTCTTACAAAAGTAGAACAAATACTACTATCAATTGTAAAAGAATTCACGAAAGGCAATCATTTTTCTAATAGTCACGTGTCATTGCAAAACTTAGATTTCGCAACTATCCCAGTCAAAATCATGAGCAATCACAGATTTGTGGAGGCTTTGTTCACGACCCTGTGCCAGCCTGTATCCTGTACATAATTGGTTTTTAAAAAAATTTGGGAGGGGGGGATTCATGCGTTAGGGAATGAAAGAAATAAAGGGTGACCTTTGTTCAGAGTGCTCATCAATGCAAACAAAAAGAAGCTGTTATATTGATTGCCAGGGTGCATTCCATGTACTTAAGTCCAAAGATATTCGGACATTCATGTTCTTTTAGCGTTGCGAGTGCAAACTAACAAAAATCACTTTCAACATACGTAAAATCTTCGTTAGTTGGCATGCTGAACATGAAGCCATTTACATAGTTGACACAAAAAAGAATAAAACAAAGACTCGTACAGCACAGTTTTCTCTGTTAATCAGTTTTCTTTGTCTGGCGTACAATATTTACCGTTTTATTAACTGCTCATATATTCGGCGTACCTAAACAAATGCACCGGAAGACCTTCGGGGGGGGGGGGGCGTACAGTTGACATGAAATCTATCATGGATTGATAGAGAGAATTTAAACTGCTAGAAATGTGCATCTTCTTTGTCTGAAGCATTTTCAGTAGACCATGTTTACACATCCAAAATGCAGACATTGCAAAGATACAGAATGTTATCTACTGAACTGTTTAAAATAATCGACAAATAATAGAAATATACCTAAGAAAGTTAGTAAATGGATCGGATAAAATCAAGAAGTATATAAACAGTTTGTTCCCTTTTTATTTCATACTCTGTTTCCCAAATTAATAAAAAAAGACGGTCAAAAAATTTTATGTCTGAAAAAAGTGGGGGAGGGGGGGGGGGGCTTCAGCTGTGCCTGTAAAAATATTGTCTGATTTATCCAAAGCGTGGATCTACATAAGTTTAAATCGATGCAAAAAAGGAGAAGAGCAACAAAAGCCGCTTAATCAGATCTACAGGAGAAGCTAGCACGACTCGAATATAGGAAATTGAAATTAGAAAATTTCATTCACCAGGAGTCACACTGTCTTCTGAGCCTTCTGTTCATTCTTGGGACCAAATTGACCGAGTACTATGACAACGAATTTCTGAAGCCAAAACGAGGTCAAATTAAAAGTCCATCTTTACTCTTCCATTCCAGCATAGTCACAAAACAGTAAATATGGATCGCTCTCCGTCTCATAACAAAGCTAGAGACGAGAAAGTCCGGTTGATGCAAGAAAGGCAAAAGTATTGGATGCAGCAGAGAGAAACTGCTTCTAAGAAGAAGGACGTACAAGCTGATAGCCAGCTAGCTTCAGGGAAGTCCGCATCAAGATCTGTGAATAATAAACAGTCGCAATCAAAAAGGGGAAAGAGCGACGAAGTATTGTTATGGACTGCGAAAAAGCCAGACGCAGTACACGATGGTTTTGTTGTGAGAAAACAATCAGCAAAATCTGACAAAATTGCATCAGCTCGATCTACTTCATCAAAAAGTGGGTCCGTAAGCAACAGACCAAACAGCAGAACTTCATCATTGGATATCTTAAGTAAATCAGATGTTAAAAAGTACAGTAAACATGAAGCTAAAGTTGATCAATTTACAAGCACCCCAGACAGAAAATCTGCAGCTAATGATGAGCTTGATATGATAATTGCAAGTGATATTTCTTCTATTAAGATAGGTTCTCTCGAAAACCAGCCTATCAGCAACCTTGCAAAGAGAAATGAGTATGACAAGCTTAATTATACTTCATTGAACAACAGAAAAGTAGATATGGATGAACAGATAAGTAAATCAAGCTCAACGTTCACCTATCAATCACAGGATAACTTTTCAGATCCAAGGATAAATGAACAAGGACAAAACAACAAGTACTCTATGCATTGTTGTCCAATGTGTAAAAAGCTCATGCACCAGCAGAGCAATCTTCCATTTTTGATTATCCCTTGTGGTCACAATATTTGTGCTCAGTGCCAACCAGGGCAGGTATATTGTCCAACATGCAATGCAAAAATTGCCTCTGTTGTAGAAAATAGTACACTGAGTCAGGTTATTAAGGAATATAAGAAACACGAGGAGAGAGAAGAACTTGCCAGAAAAGAGAAGGAAGCAAGAAAATATGTGGATGAGTATGATTCGTTGAAGACAAGATGTGAGGTTCTAAGTAGTAAGTTGCTTATTTCATATGCTTTTTAATAACACAAAAATAACTGGCATATTATTTCTAATTTGACAACAAATAACTTGCATGTTATCTCTAAAAAACATCCCTTACATGAGACTCACTAGTAGACATTCAAAACATTTTATAACAGAGTTTAAGTATTTCCACTCATTATATACCTTAATTCAATTAGATTGACAATAACATCACCAAGGTTATAACCTTTATTTTAATACTAAGGCCAAAAAAGTCATTAAGAATAATAAATCTGGAATAAGGCAGCCCTTTAGGAACAAGGGCTCTATTTATAACACTTTTATTCTTTGACAGAATAACTGTTTGGCTTTATATTGAACAAAATTTTTAAAAATGTTTTCTGGTCTATGCTTTATTTCAATAGACAAAGCAGAGGGTGTTATTGAGACGATGGAACATATCACATCAGAACTTGTGGGCCGAAAAACAAAAATGAAGAATATGGAAGAGAGAAGACAAGACTTACTAGAGCAAATTGAAAGCCTCAAAGAAGAACTTTCAAATTGTGAAATTGAATGCAAAGATAACGAAAGAGAATGCATGGAACTGGAAGTCTCATATTCGAAGGAAAAAGAAAACTTGGACTTGATAGAAAATACTCTAGAAAGGGTGAAGCAGAGCAAAAATAGGGTGAAAACACTGGTGCACAGTCTTATCCCAACATTTGTCTTTGATGATGATTGATACTCTGTAGATTTGTTGACTACTATGATAAACATATCTTTAGAAGGTTAAAAGGTGACCTTAGACACCTAAATAGGTAATACAAAGATTCTTTGAAATGTGTTAAAATCCCATTAAGATTTCCCTGTGCTTGCGGCTTCCCATGGGTTTTTCAATATCAAATAATATGGCTTTTCCCACTTACCTAATATAAGTTCGAGTGGCATTCTTTTAAAAAAGGAATGGTTTTTTCCCTAAACCACTAGGCTTGGGTGCCATATCAAATACTTTGTTTTCATTTTGATCTTGAAAACCTATTACTGAGAGCTATTTGATGATGATAAATGTCACCAAACATAGGAATTATTGGTTGATAGTGTTTATTTTGTTGTATTTCAAATGAGTATGCTATAAGAAAAGGGACATGATTTGCTTATGAAAGTCCACTGTTCATTTTAAAATGAACATCAGTGCCAAGAATTCTTCAAAATTCAACAGAATTTATCAAAATGTAAATATGTATCACAAGATGTTTCTTCTTCAAGAAAATAGAACATTCACTAGTGTCATAGGAAGAGCATTTCCTGCAATGCAGATTAATTCCAAAGTGTGTATATGTAAAATCCTGAGACCAAAGCATTGTGCATGTCTTTTTTTCATTTCTTAACGTAGAAAGATATCAAGTGTATTTGAAAATACAAATTATTTAAATGAACTTTGAAATATAATGTAGCGGAGATAAAAACAAATTTAAAGACAAAACTTATTATCTATGGTATTCAATTCTGGTGACAAAAATACAAATAACTAAATGGTATACTTTTTGTAGGAATTCAACATAAAGGAGTCAATGTAGCAAAAAATCTTTAATATCTTTAATAGAAGAAAAGATTATCTATAAGACTACCTAAGGGTAAGGATAAATTTTTGTTACATCACTATTCAAATGAGAAACAAGAAAACAACCAAACTAACAGATTGGCAATATCTAAGGGTGAAAATATTGCCTTGGGACAATTTTCATCCTAAAAAAAATTCTTGCAACCTTCAAAATTGGAAATGTTGCCCTGGTTGTGTAAAACCAAGAAAAGTGTCAAACTAAGACATAAACTTAGAGGGATTTTGGAGGGGTCACATACCTCTAAAAGTTGACAGGTCTAACAAATGATTTGCTTGAAAGATGTTAAAACTCTGACAGGCCTGGCCCCAAGCACAAGAATATAAATACAGAATGCATTTTGCATCCAGAATTAGGGAACTATTTCTATCTTCAAGGAAGTTTTCACTAAGAATTGTGTAATTTGCATTGAGCATAAAATTCTCTCTCTTTTCTAAACACTGTGCAAAACACTGCAATCTTATATCATCTAGCAATTAATTCGAATTGACATGCTCCCTTCAAAATGATTACAATGAGGTCTTTAGGTAACAAAAATGCCAGTACTTTTGACAGAAGATTAAGGCAAGAACCATATGTACAAAAAATAAAACATTCGGCCATTGATGATTAATGGTGGTTTGAAAAATCATGTCTTCTAAACCAAAACACAGATAAAGAACAATCTGTGACAGCTTGCTTCTCTGTTGTGGATTTCAATAGGTTAATGGTGCCAATACAGACATCTCATAACGTGATATTTTTTGATAAGGTAGATTGTTTTGCAAATAGCTAGCCAAAGAAAGAAATTTCTATCTAACCACAGAAGCCCATCTTTCTATAGTTAAGTTTTGAGGTAAAATTTGGCTGAATCCATTAAAATCAACAATGACCAGAATGCAGATGCATCCCTCTACAAGTTTAGAACAGAAGCATTTATTCTTTGGACAACTGGCAAATCACTGTTTTTTGGAACAAAAGATCATACTCCTGTTTGCTGTCAAGTCTCACTATGGCAAAACGGTTTTCAAAGGTTTCAAGCAACTGACCAAAAGAAAACTTAACCAACATAAAAATTATGCATTCACTACAGCTTGCCTATTTTATCGTAAACACTCAGCAAGCTGTAGTTTCTCAACTTTTTAGCACAACAACACCAATCATTAAGATCAAGAAGTCTTTATTTCAGCAAATAAAAAAATTAAAGTACATTAAAGGTTCTGTTTTATAGTTTTTTTCTTTAGTTATTTCTTTTTACTAGACATGGTTGATGATGCTGGTGATGAAACAGCAGATGATAATGGTGTGTCTTCAAAATCTTGCTCAGAGCCATCATCCTTGAAAAGGAAACAAAATTATTCCGAACTGATAGCAAAAATCATAGAAATAGCAAGAAAAAGTCTAGGCTAACATCAGATTAACATACAAATAAAATTACCAACATGAGAGGTTTAAACTTTCTGCATTGCCTGAGGTACTTTAGAACTGGGTGGAATACAAACTCTTGGGCAAAATAACCAAAATAAGTTTCAATTTTAAACTTGGAATTACTTTGTTTACCATTTTATTAACGAAAACATTGATAAATGTAACAGCAGATTTGAAATAAATATTTTTGTAGCAATACATCTCATTTGAAGGGCTAGACTTTCAATATATAAGGTATGATTAGTTCTCTATGAAGGCATAAAGTCTAGCCCTAAAACTCATTTAGGAATGAACAGGGCTTGACTTGTTTATGTGGCCTTTTCAATTTCAGCAATAAACCTTAATCTTAAATCTTTCCTATTAACTTGAAAAGAGAGAGCCCACAGTTTAACGGTACATGTGATATTATATTGAAAGAATAAATCAATCAACAAAATATAATTGAAAAAACACTTGTCCTGCATTTTGCAACTTGCATATCCTTTCAGATTTTATCACTTCTGTTTTATGTGGCCCTACTTGTAAGCATTTGGCTGTTCATCAAATATGGCATGAAATTTGCAACATTTTGACTCCAAAACATTAAAACTGATCTAAATTTTGGGTTAAAAGGGTTAGAATTCAGGTATACACTCCCTTTTTGCTTGAATAAATTCAAAATGCTGACATGTAATACATTCCACTAACAGTCTTGTGAAAAAACAATATTAAACCCAACCATTACATTGAAATTGTGACATACTGTAAGTTGAACAGGTGAGGATAAGCATTGACTCATATTTTACACGATTTATGTGTTTGTTCAATGGGAATTAGGAGCTATGCACTTACATCATCAGAAGCATCATTGTCTGATTGAGCACCTTCTTCCCCTTCATTATCTTCTTTGATCTTGATTCTTGCCCTTCGCCTCTTCCCCTACAATGAAAGGAAATCAGTCATGAAAATCAAATTTTGAATATCACTGCCTCAAAATTCCTAAGTAGAAATATGCATAAAATCTAACCCCAAGTGTTGCTTTAAGGATAAGAGTTGGGTAAAATTTCATAAATTCAAGATTAATCAATTTTACTTATGGCTCGAAAGCTCACTTAAAGGTAAATTTGTTATGGGAATAGTGAATGATGTTTTTCCTCATAGATTGCAACTTATCCATTCCTGTTTGTCATAGCAAAACTTTGATGGTGTATTATTCATTCTCTGAAATGAGGCCTACCAAATGATGGTTGTTCTTCTTCTATTGGAAAAAAACAATAAAGGGGCCACTAAGAGTTTCTTTTATAACCTTTTTCTGTTTTGCTTTGTGTATTAGCCCCATAAAATATAATCTTTGTTATACCTTGGACTCTCCCTTTGTAGTTTTTGACACCTCAGAGACACCTATGATAGAAAAAGAATTTTGTCATCAGGTATGTCCAAAACACATTCTCCTGTTCAAATAGATTTGAAAATGAAACACAGCCACAACCTGATATCCAATGGTAATAAATATGATAGCAGTGATAAAGTTGATAAAATGATAATTCTAAAAGTTGATGAAAATGAAGTTGTCCTCTTGTAGCAATGACTGATTGTAACAATACTAAAATTCCTATTATGCTAATGAGCCAAAACAATAGATCCACAAATGACCATTGAGATAACCTTTCTCTGCTGGATTTTCTCCCAGATGGTTCGAAATCAAAGCTAGATGATTGATCTGGTCTGTAGGGGGTAGTAGGTGTTTTTTGTCTCTTAGTTTTTGAGATACTTGGCTTTTTCTGAGGTAAAAATAGGTCTCGAAAACTTTCTGCTTCACCATGATTCTTGGGGTTTGATTCACAGATCGTTACAAAGGAACAATGGGCATATGATTCCATGAGCCAATCAAAGCGTGTGATTATCGAGTTGAAAATGCCTGACTTTGCTGGAGCAAGAAAACAAGAGAGGCTCGAATAAGTTGGTAATTGGCTGAGTATTGTTGTTGGGAGTGGCTGCTGTATGTTGATGAGTGAGTTTGAGGCTTGAAGTTGTCTTTACTTCTTTCTTATTGACTTTGCTCCACAAACTGTTTGGTAGTAGCCTCTATAAAGGGGGGAGCCTCTACCCCCTTTCTATTTCAGATGATCCCCTGACTAGTGATAGTCACATGAGCACAAATTTAATTTGTGCAGAAGTGCAAGCAATTTTTCATAACTTGACCTCTCCTCTTTTGGAAATTGAGGTTAATAGCATTCTTGCCAAGGCTAATCTCACAACCCCACCTGCTAAGGCACCATCAGGGCTTTACTGAGGGCTTAATTATCTTAGACATATTATACATATTTACAAATAAAACATTATACATATTTTCAACTACTGGGGTCTAAAAAATCAATGTTTATCAATCTAACTTACTGCTTTCCTTGTCAGAATCATCATCAACCTGCAAAAAATACAGTTAGTAATTAAACTTCAAACACAGTAAAATAGAAAAACAATATTCTCAACAGAAAACATCAGACATCAGGCACAAGGCATAAGGTGTCAAAGTATATCTATGCGATAATAAAGTTCTAATGGCTTGCCAGGAAGCTAAAGCAATATTCCAGACTTTACTGTATTATAAATTGCATTTTAAGCCTGGCGTGACTGGGAAAAAACTTTGAAAAAAGCACAAGGACTATAACAAATCTACTAAGGGATGGTAGACTAAAGATGTTTTCAATATGGGGAAAGATCTCTTCGGAGGGAACTGCAAAGCTTTAGATTTGAATTGCTGAAAGATCCACTGGTTTATTAATCAAATATCAATTTTTAAGCCACCTATAAAAATGCTCATTGCTAGCAACACCTAATCAATGGGTTGACATTGCGTTCTGCAGTAAAAGTGCAGCTCCAAATGTCATAATCCCATAACATTGTAATTAACTTCTTGGGTCAATAAAAGATTATTTGAATCTCAATAGCTTGATATAGTTACTTTGTATAAAAAAGTTATTTGCTATGAACATGCTTTTAAAAAAATCAATTTGCTTGGCTGTCTCTTAAAATGTCATGTGCCTTTGCCCTTACTAGGTCGTTCAACTTCGGAATTTACATATAAAGGCAGTGAATTTGCATGAATCCTATGTTTGTAGAATTATTATTCAAAGTGAAGGTGTTTTTTAATTAATATGCATTTTCTGCAAATAATTATATCTTGTTTTTATTATGAAAAGACTACCTGTATCTGGACTACTTTCTTTGTTGAAACTTAATCAAATGCAATGCCATAATTCCTTTATATTGAGTTCAAATACTTTTTTAAATAAACATGTTTATAGATGATATATTGAGGATCTATTTGTGTCAATCAATTCTAGTCATATAGCATTATGGTCAAAATGAGGCAAGTAAACTTTTTTATTATGACATAAAAAAGTTTTGAAAATGCTCACATCTTCGTTGTTCCCTTTGGTATCCTCTTCTCCCGACTCCACTTTGCGGCGATATTCAGTAAAAACCGACTGCCAGAAAAATACCATAAAAATGTTGAATGTTTTAAATGAAACTTTATTACAGCACTGGGTCAAATGACACTCAACAGATGTTGGCTTCAAATACTCTTAAAATAACACAATGATATCTGTTTTTGTTTCACCAAGAACTATAATAACAGAGTACAGGAACCTTTCTTGAATCGAAACAGAGCGAGCTTCACTGCTATAGAGTGAAAAAACTTCTAGATAGTGGCCAAAAAATTGCAGTTGAACGCCTAATAACTGAAACTGTTGATGAAATGCCAACAAATATTTTGTTGTTCTGTAAATTTATTTGTTTAGAGAAAGCTTCTTGTAAATTGATTGGTTTAAAGAGAGCAACACCACCCAGAAGAAAGCTATTTGAACAATATTTTCATGCATTAGCCAATGTATGCAAATCATAAACAAAATAAGTGAAGAATGGTGTAGCTTAAAAAACTAAATTGTTTGATGATATGTAAGCACACATTTATATGAAAAAGGTCTGTCCTGGAGGCACCTCACAAAATATAAGCTTCTAAACCACTTCTCTAAAAATGGTAACCATCAGGCCCAGCACTGACATTATTTCTCTTGCGTGAGATGATGAGCTTTAATGCACTCCAAGAAAGATTGAATACCCAATATAAATGTGCTTCGTTTATAAACTTGATGTACATCACGAAGGTCACATAGACGTTGTTGCCGGATGATTGCAAAATATTGTTCCAAATCTTTTTTAAAAGCGCTTTACTGTCCAGAAAATGTACTAAGTGCTAATGTAGTTCAAATACTAAGTACCTAAAGTATTCCTAAACATTGGCTGTGGAATTGATTTTCAAATTTTTTCGTTGGGATGTGGTTAATTCAGCCTACTTATATTTTCTGTGTTTTGATATACCGGCTTTGTATAGTCTATGCCACTTGCTTGGGTCACAAAAGATGACTAGAAATGTGTCAATTTACGAGTCATCTTTTCCTCACAATTTACCGTTTTGGGCGAGTGATCCAATGTTTGTGTGGCTTGGTTTGGGCGAGTGCTGATGCAATCGCGAGTGATTGCTCGCATCAAATGAAAAGGCCTGATGGTAATTTATTGAAGTGATGCTAATAGACAATAAACAATATGTTTACCTGGAGAGTTATTGAATCTTCATAGATCTACGAAAAAATACTGTTTTGAGAACGGGGCATGCATTTAGAAGAAAATACAAATACAGCTACAACAATGTTTTGAATTGCTCATGACACATAAATATGGAGATAACACTGAAAAATGTAAATCTTGTCCATTTTACCTGCCCATTCTATCTAGTGATTCAAACATTATACAATGCACTTTGGAAGAAAAAATTATGGCATTTTTCAATTGTTTACATAATGAGTCATATATTTGTTGAACTTTCTACATATTTATTACCAATCTTCAAATGATTGAAACCGTGGTATCTCCCAAATTCATTTAGCATTTAGATGTTATGTTACATCAAGATTATTTTATATGTCAGACATCTAGACAGACATTAAAGAATAAGATTTGACTCTTCTCAAGATTATATCAGTCCAGATATACAAATCAATATTAGAGTTTTCATAGCAATTGTATATTTGAACTTACCAGTGACCCTTCAACATTATACATTTGTGCATTTCGACACATCTGCAAAAAGTCTTCTTCCATGTCATTAATGCTTCGATACTTGTGATTTCTTATTCTTTCCTAAGGATAGCAAATTTTCAAACAAATTATAAGTATATGTCTGTACACATTTTCACAAATATGCAAAAATCTCAGTATTCAGAAGAGAAGTAACACTAAACAGAAATGCAGGGCTGGGTGATGCTTGTGCCATTTGTTAAACTGACAATAATCGTAACTATAAGGAATTTGGGCTTACAAAGAAAATCTAATAAGATCCCTCTCCAAACTAGTACAAATAAAACTTGGAGAATACTGAATCAATTTAGAGCTAGTATTCACACTTCTTTCAATCAACTGAAAAGTACAAATACGAGCAAGTAATTTTCAAAATGAACTCAGAACAAAACAAAAATGAAGAAGTTGGTAGATTGGGGTTGAAGAAGACTATTTATGTCTCAAAGAAATTTTATTGGCTGCATTGAATCATGTGTGAGGGGAAACATTTTGGGAGCAGATCAGATCAAACAAAAGGGGAGTTAAGTAGATGGACACTGCTATGGAGAAGAAATAACATCTGCAATTTGGCTCAATCGCTCTTTACATGGTGCAAGCATAAAAGGCTTGCAAAATTAAAACAGTAAAACAACAAGTAGAAGAAGTTATTTGAAACCAATCATTCTGCAGACCATACTAATCATCAATCACACATTCAAAAATTAAGACTTGCAAGATAAATGTTAAAAGCATTCTATCAAGTTCTTACTTTGATCTTTCTGATGTCAATGGGGGTTTTAATCAGCTGATAATAATCAGGCAGTTCCTTTCTTGTTGGCAAGGTAACAAACGGCTCGGCCAATGGACGATTGTCACTGAAAGTACAAATAAATTGTTTTGATCAACTTTGAACCCAGGTATACTAATGAAATCCAACATATTTAATAACTACAGTTCTATCGGCAAAAGCAGGTAGCATTTTAACTTTATGCCAAAATATGTTGCTTTGTGTTAAATTCTCGAACACAATTACCTTACAAAAAGAATACAACAAATAAGATATACTCAAGTGGCAGCTGCTTAATCAAATATAGGCGCCCAATTACGGTGTAGCATTTCTTGGTAAACAGACATTTCATGAGATTTTGTCCCTGGATGCAGCTAGATCCCTATACAATTGAACACACTGAACTTCCTTAGACCACCTATATAACTGAGCTTCTTTGTTGAAGGGATCATTGTATCATTTCAAAATAAAAAGCTTTTCATGCACTTCATCAATAAGTCTTGGATCTAAAGCCTACCTGTCAGTGTACTTGCAAACAAGCTTCATAAGGGTCTTCATCTTTTTGGTCAAATCAGGTGGATTTGGATCCATTTTTGCTGAAAGAAACAACAGGAAAACAAACTTAGATTCCATTATACTGTCATGTCTTGGAACAAAAAGGGCTTTGTGGTGTGAAGTTTGAAACAGTCTGGTCTCGGTCAAAGTCTGAAAAGTGCTGTACAATGAGTCCCCTTTTGGGGTTGTCATACCAGTGTGCAGGTGGATGTCTCTTAAGAGGGACAGGAAAACACCGAAGAAAACCACTGTTCAAGAAATAGATTCAATCTGCCAATTAATAGTTAACAGTTCAATCAGTAAAAAATAGACTCCATGATTCATTTATGGCTCAGAAAACATTTGGATTCTTATGGATAATCTAATATGAAGCAGTAGCATTTTCTATTGATGAAAATTGTATAAAGTTATTGTTAACATGGTTTCATCACTGCAAGACAGAAAGTTGATCAAAATGCTAACAAAAACAAGAGTATATCTGATGTGCTTAGGTTGGCAAAAAATTCGGCAATCAAAACAAAATCCATAAGAAAATTACCTGCTGGTGGTCTTCCTCTCTTTCGCTGAAAAAAGGAGACATTCTAGTGATGGAAGGTGGGAGTTGCATGATTTAATTTTGAAAAAACTTTGGACAAATACTTAATAATAGTCTGTTGTCAGAAACAAGACCATCTTTGACACAAGCAAGCCTTGATGTGGTAAATGAGTTGTTGCTCTTGTATTTCTGTCATATTTTAGCAAATTTCCCTTGGCCAACATTTGTGTTTTGTATGCCTTTGACAGAGGCAAAGTCCCAACTTGATATATTTTCAACAATGAATTCAAAGGTTAAAACAATAGGTTCTATTGACATGCATAGCTGAATGCAATATTATAGGATATTATTAAAATTTGATATGACTTGATTCCATATGATTGATATAATTGAATCTAACCTTAACCTTAACCTCTGGGGTTCCTTCCACCTCATCTTCCTTCTTTCGCTTTTTGCCCCTGGTTTTTGTCTTTTGCTTCTCTTCATAATCGGAGAAAGAACCCTCTTCTATGGCCTATTGATAACAAGAAAGAAAAATTTACTTGGAATTCATACCATTCTTCATGCTAGTTGAATAAATTATTCAAATCTTATTTCATGAGCAATATCACAACTATGCCTTAAGAATTGTTAGATTCTATATTTGAAAGCACTGTCTGAATTGAACAGTGAGTTGCAGTGGGGGAATATCAGCAATTAATAATGTACTTGGGGATGTTAATATGGTGCTTAAAAAATTCATATCAAAGTAGGATGATAACACAAGACGAGAGACAAGAAATCAGATCTTTAAGCCCAATCTCCAGTGAGAAAAAAATCATCGAAATGCGAAAAAGTTCGCGTGAAATATGTCATAAACATGCACAGTGAACTTTTGCTGGGATTTCTCGCGAAGAATTTCCCTGAGCAAAAAAGTTACCACGAGTTTAACTTTATTCGTTTCTCGCTTGCGAAATCCTTCAGCAGCCAATCATATTCCATATCTCTTTGTCACGCTTCCAAATTTTACATTCCAATGTCGTGAGGTCGACAAAAGCATTCAAAGAAATTTTTCGCTTGAAGTACTTCGCAGCGAAATTTCGAAAGGCTTTTTCTCACTGGAGATTGGGCTTTACATTAATAGTGAATTAATAGATTCTTTCTTCGTGGATTGTGGTTGAGATAAAGCACGGGGTTGAGAACCTAATTCAAAAATCAGAAGGGAGGGTTGATGAACCAAAACTATGAGGGTCATTATAAAAAAGTTACTAGTCATAAATTGTGCTTACTTTGAGGAACTGCTTGTCAGTAAGATTATCGCTATAATCAACATCTTTGCGTTCTCTCTTTCCTAGACGGAACATCTTGTCCTTCTCTTCTTCCCAAGTCAATTGATCAATCTGAGGATGAAATATTACATTGAACTAGGTTAGGACACGAAGCTGATTTAAGGATGTTTCAGAAGAAATGAATAGGGCGTGGTCTGATAAAAGTTGTTATTTTCTGGCAGACTTAGATCTGGGTCTCAAACTTTACATGGCCAGTCTGCCTTGACAGGGTGTAAAGAAAACTGCTTTATGTTTTCCAAGCATCGATAATTTGATGATGAACCTAAAAATTTGTGCTGCGATGAGAAATAGTAGCACAGCTGCGAATGTTGCCATGGCAATATATTAACTCAGTATTCAATTTAAGTTTAATCCTGCAAAAAGATCCTTATGTTTTTTAGGCAGGAACATTTTTCTCTTCCTGCAGCCTAAGATCCTGTTTTCCCAAGATCAAATTAACCTACTCATGCCTAGAGCCATGCCCTGAATTAAAGCTTGAATCATTGAAGATCTCATAATAGCATTATAGCTGGCCAAACCTATGAGCTATTAGTAAAAGAGCTAATCAGATATATGTATTGACCTCATCCTCATTCTTCAACAGCCATTTAGGCAAGTCTACATCTTGAATCAACCGCGACTTCCTTCGTAACGAACCCTGTTCCTGAAAACAAAAATCATTTATTCATAAAATTGTTTCGTTACACAAAGTAAACTTGAACAGCTATTAATACGGAAAACGAACCGTTAGATGCTTACAAAAAAAGAAATATCTTCATTTCCCTACTTGAGTACTCAGAAAAAACGATTTCTTTCAATATCATTTAAGTCTACTTTAAAAGTTCTATTTTACAAATTTTATTTTACAAAGCAAATTAAAATAAAGAAAACATTATTTGTTAAGCAAAACCAGAAGACGATGCAAGGTTCGTTCCTTTTACATTATTCCCTTACAAAAATTGAAAGAAATACACTTTGTTCAAGTTACATCAGAAGTCAGCAAAATGGCATAGCAAAATTTTGTAGCATCAACACTGTTTAAGAGCATCAGCACTCAGCAGTAGAGTTGTTTAGAATAGATTATTTCTTGGCTCGAAAACTAAGGGCTTTCTAGTAAATAAACAGAGATACTTACTCTTGGCTCATTTCTTTTCCTTTCCAAATCCATTCTCTAAAAAACAATCACAAGCTTAGAACATATCACATTTGAAAACTAAATGTTTCCAAAAATCTTGCGTTGGTCACCTGAACTCATTTTTTGACGTTAAAAGAAAATATACGTATACCTAACGTATATTAAAGAATATCTTATTAAGAATTTTAACAAAAGGTCACTCTGTTTCTGAAATTGTTTTAAATCACAGACCTGATATATTTCGAATTCTTCTTCACTTCTGGCTATCATCTGATTTACAGTTTCATCATCCGGGACTTCACTCTCCTCCTGAAATAAACGTAACGACAGTTAGCTGGTCAACCGAAAAATGATGGAAAGCAGATCTTAAAACTGAAGAAAAAAACGGATACCCAAGGAAACAGAAAACGATCACCTACCTCATCCTCTACAGAGTCGCTCTCTAGCAAAGCATAAAGGAAGGCTCTTCTTTCACTGCTAGTCGAGTTCTGATTGAACATACCAGCTTGAATGACCTGAAATGTTATAAATGAAAATATTTTCAACACCACTCGTTAGAACATAAGATCTACTAGCAAACAAAAGATGGTTGATTGTTCGTTATTAATAACTATAAAGTGGATGCATCCTTTGTGTATCCAAGAAAAACAAACAGAGATCCACATTCGCAGAAAATTTCTCTTTGAATCTTGTCCACATGTGATAACAGATTTTAAGGTATCAGTTTTCTATATCTAAATCACTGAAAATGATCTCTGGAGGGACTGTGCAACCAAAGCCCTAAAAAATCCTTAAAAATGCTTCAGTAGCAATCGTCTTTAAAAGACCAACTTTAACAGCAACTGTCATACCTTTGAATCAACATTCAGCTTGAATCTAGCAGCTGCCAAAATCTTTTCCTCGACAGAATTCACAGTCATGAGACGCAGCACTCTGACTTCGTTTTGTTGACCAATACGATGAGCTCGATCTTGGGCTTGCAGATCCTACAAGATTAGATGAAGAGCCATTTACAGGCCTTGCGAGGAGCAAAAAGCAGGCGCTTGACAAATTAAGTACCATCAACTTCCTAGGCGCTGAATTGAGCATCATCAAATATCATCAATAACGAGATTTGGTTTTCGCATTTAAATATCAGACATCATAAACAAGCTAAGGGCTCAATTAATCAAGCTCCTAGATCTTTTCAGCGGTGCGGTCACGCCTCTCCTTGCATTGTTCAAACTGGAAGGAAATTGGTGGGGAAGAGGCAGTGGGCAAATGAACTTCGAGGAAAATAAAAGGAAGGAAACTTAGCAGTAGTAAATGTACATATATTCACAATATGAGAGGGAAGCGGATTGGTATCCCCCAGTTTCTAAATCTGCCTCCAGAAAAGGAGGGGGGCAAATGGACTGCAATTATAAGAGATATGCTTTACTGTGCCTATTCACTAGGACTAATGCACTTCAATTGCCTACAAACACAAAACGTCTAAAAAACGTCTATCTAGATAGATAGTATTTTACCTGATGGGGATTCCAATCACTGTCAAAGATAATGACAGTGTCAGCAGCTTGCAAATTCAAACCCAGACCTCCAGCACGTGTACTCAGCAGGAAGAGAAAATAAGGGGAGTCCTGTGCATTAAACAAGGCAAGGAGGTCCCCTCTGTCCTCGGCTTTAGTTGTTCCATCAAGACGGAGGTACATGAATCCTGAAATGATAGACTCAGTTGAGTATGGCAAGAAAAAAACCGATTTGATTAGTTCAAAGAGTGACTTTTTGACTTGCAAAACAAGTTTGTTGTTTTTTATCAAACCATTGAAAAAAATCTTTTATATGCAAGTCTGTATTACGAGAAATAAAATCTGTCTTTCTCATTCAGTTTTCTCATTGCAACAATACACTGCCAATTTTTGCAATCTATTTGTAACCGATCAAAATTTACAGAAACTGTTACATTATGGCCGCAAAAGCGTTTGTTCTACGTTTGTAAATTGAAACAAAAACGAATATAAATAAGAATTATATGTTTCACATTGACGAAGAAAATATCCAGTTTTTCATCCCTTATCAGAGGGATTAAGAATAACAAGCAGTTAAGGACCATGTGTTATATTGATAGGAAAGTGCTAACTTCAAAATCTGCTGGCCATGTTTCTTTAGATTTCGACAACCGTATTGGCTGTAAAACATATCTATCTATTAATTCTATATAGGTTACATTCCAGATTTTCTACTCTTACATTCAACTACAAAGCCGACGGGTAGATACGTCGCCTAAACCTACTGATAACCAGGAAAGAAGTGTGGGATTCTAACATGGCAATACCAAGGAAACACTCCTTCAAAACACGTCCATTAGACAAGACAAGATATTCGGTTACATGGTTCAAGGCTTTGGTATACACCTCTTTCATTGTACAAATAACAAACAGCTGTTTAGACAATGGAAAATGCAATATAAATACCCCTCCAGTTTAAATAGTCCTCCATGATCGTCATCAATGACGTCATTTGGCAAAAAACCAAGCATCTGAAAGAGAGAATAGTGTAATGAAAAAGTGTTAGATGCTTGCGGCACTTTGAAGGAGGAGTTCAACAGGTTTATCGGTATCAAACGAATGTCAACAATATTGGATTTGTTTTTGCAATTAAAAAGACTACAATGTTGAACACCCACTCCCTTTTTCATTAAGAATTGTAACATGATTGTCTAGAATGGCTGCCAAAAACGATGGATTTGACTTTTCAAGAAAAATCGTAAACAGAAAAATAAACCCGAGGTAAAACAACTCGGAAGTATGATAAGTGTTACGTCACCTTGTCATGCATAAGAAAAGGAACAGCAAGGGAACAAAGATTCTTTTTGTGTAGCTGTTTTTAAATGTGAGACGGGAAACTGTACAAAGGCATTGAGTAATTATTCAGCATTGAGTTATTGTTTAGATATACGCAACTCTTAATTAAGTTTACGAATATTGTATGTGTTGAACAATTCGACGTGAAAATCCCTAGCCTCTAGCCTTAGACACAAGTACAGTCTTGGAGATAAGAACAGTCTTAGATACAAGTACAGTCGTGGAAAGAGAGAGAGAGAGAGAGAGAGAGAGAGAGAGAGAGAGAGATAGAGAGAGAGAGAGAGAGAGAGAGTGTGCAGAAAAAAGAAAACCCAATTACCTATGACCATGTCTCTTAAATTTTGGCAAAATTCTATCCAGCAACTCAAATTTACCAGATACACGGTACAGCTCAGGTCTGGAAAAAACAAAAAACGATGCTATAAGTCGAATGACTAAATCAAAATAACGAAAGGTAAAATTAATCTATACTCAAAGCAAAGTCAAAGCTGTGAAAGAGAAATTGCGAAGCAATCAGTACAGAAAAGTTTTAATACACTGCCAGGACAAACGGATTTCGTACAAGGGGACAAACGGATTTCGTAAAAATCTACAAAACCGAAAGTACTTCAACTCTGTGAAAAGAAAAACAAAGACCCGAAACTTACAGAATTAACACGAAACCGTAACTGTCTGTTTGCCTCATTTTTTCAATTTTTCCGAAGGTAAGACATGCGGACCTTTGGTCCGTTGGGCCTGGAATGGCATACAATAACATACATGGCACACAATCACAAAACTCACCCTGTCACTACTCCAGTTGTGTATCCTAAATGCTCTGCAACGGCCTCCTAAAATTAAAATATATGTTAAATATTTAGCAAAAACGACATATGAACTAGAAAATATGCGTAAGAACCAGTCTCGACCATGTATTCAGACAAATATTTTTTAAAAACTGAGGCACTGATTGCAGACCATGCAAATTAATGTAGAGCCTCTTTTTTATTAAAAAGTTGCAACCTCTTAGAAATACTTTTTCATCATAGATATTTCTCTAAAAGGCATTAAAATACGGTTAAACAAACCACTTAGAGATCAGGACACCAAACAATTGGAAATAGCATGAGATACTCTCACACAAAAATAGAAGGAGTCAATTATACATTTTATCTATGGTATCTGTTTCTTCCTGAAACCTGGGGAAATTTTAAAACAGTTATGAAAAACGAAATCGAACCAAGATTTTAAAATATAAAGAAAGTTCTAGAGGCCGTCGGGTAAATACTAGGGATTATATATGGCTCGAAATCGAGGGGCCAATCACTCTAGGAAATAACGTAGAAAATTTCTAACAAAACAAATGGGTTTATAGGGATTTGCAGATACAAGAATATAGGTTTCTATTAAAGGCGTACGAGATTTCAATAGAGTGATTTGCCCCTCGCTCGATATTGTAAGAAAGTAACAACTTTTGCAAATATCATTTTAGATTTTACATTAAGGGTATGATTTGATAATCCCTCAAAGCATTTTAACCGATGAAATTGTAAAGCGTCACCTCGATGTGCTGGAACATAAAAGGGTGGTTGCAGATCTTCCGCAACTGCATGATCGTGTTCATCATTGTCTTTGTACCAACACGACCCTAAGGAAATTCATTTATAAACAAAGTACAGTTAATGCCGTGGTTTGACTGAATAACAATACCTTAGCATTGGGGTCCTTTCAGAAAAAATTGTATAAAATTCAAAAGTTAGGAAAGTTATTTAGGAAAAACAGGCTTTTATTGGAAAGTATAAGATTGGGCCATAAAAAGGAGAAAATTTACGGAAATTGAAGCTAATTAATTTGATGTTGAGATGTAGCATAACTATGATTTAGAGATTGAATTATATGAGGAGCTTGAATTATATATAGGATGAAAAAGAACTGAAGGACCAACTTTATTGAAAATGCCTCAGTTTGAGAGGGTTTTCGATGTTTGGTCGATTTATCTATCAGTCAACAAGGGAAGAAGCCACAGAGCCTATGGACGTTTAAAGATATACACCAGCCGACATTAGGGTACCGTAAATCCTCGAATTAGCCTCTTATTTATTCTTTATATTTTTGGATGGGGGCCTGTATAACGACGGGGGAGTTAATCAGGGTAGTAAAAACAACCAGGTTATATCAATCAAGATGCCTGATGATTCATTGAGAAAACTGTCAGAATGCTCATGGAGAAATAAAAACTGTACAAATGAGCAAAATGTGCAACTAAAAACACAACATTTAAAATACACTTTAATTTTCAGATACAAAAATATTCAAAAAGTATCGATCTATCAAGCATTAATTTTTTTCGCGTGAATCAGACAAATATTGCATCCTTAATGAATGCTGAATTTGGCACATAGACGTTATAAGGTACCTTCTTGTCTTTCTCTGATCCATCTGTCAAAACAACTCCTTTCCGGTACATGTGAGAATATAAGATCTTTTGCAATGCTGACATGTCACATTTCAGCACATACTCAACCTAAAAATGGGCAAAAAAAATAATCCAAGCAAATGATTATTTAAAAGATAAGTACGAAACCTGAGAAATGGAACCTCGAAAGAACAAAACAATATCTTATTTCTATACAAAAGTTAAATCTGACTTTCTAATTGTCCATAAACAAACATAATTTCTTCTCATTCGACAAATCGAATTTTCAAAAAGTAATAAGTCCTTTAATACATAGGGAGTTTCTAACCTTGTCTGGAAGTTGAGATTCTACCTCCTTCTTCAGTCTCCTTAACAGAAAAGGTCTCAACACCTGCAAAATGCGAAAGAGAAATTATGAAAAAATTAATTAATACTCCGAGAACCCTCTCTTGAACCAATATACATGTTAAATACAGTGCAAATTTCAATTTTCATAAATTTCGTTGACAAATTATCAACTAAAAAGTTACAAAAACTTTTATACAACTATTTTTAAATAACTGGCAAATCAAAATGTGACATAAATTTGGAAAGTATATCAACTGTAACTTTTGATAGTTTCTCCACAAGGCTCATTACTTCAACTCTCAAGTAACAAGGTATTTTCGCGCCATTCATTTTTTGGGCATTTTTTACTCAATTTTCTGACATTTATATATAAAAAGGGAGTGTGGGATTGCAGACAAATTTCTTCACATAATTTGTAAAACAGCTTGCAGGGTAGAGCAGTTAGGTTGGTTAAGCTATATCCGATTAGGCACCACAAGCAGTGTTTTGACCGAACGAGTCTTGAAAAAAATAGAATTATCAGCAGATTTGGCGAGAAAAGCTCTCACAAAAAAAGGAATTTAATATTATGCGGGTACCTTTACTGGCATAATTACAAAAAAATCCATTTTAACTTAATCAATAGCTGAATCCTGGAAAAGCTCCTGGAATGGCTATTGTGGGCAGCCTAAGTTGTTTGATTTGCGTGTTTTTATTTTTAGTTAATGACTCGGCAGCTGTCCTAACATAAAAAAAGCAGCCAAAACGAGACTAGGCTTACAAATATTATGGTTCAGCTGTCCAGATGGAGTGGTAGGGTGTCAATAAGTTGAACCAGCCAATTGTAGAGCGTTATTCAAACCAGTTTGGGTGTGTCAAAATAAGCAGGGGATAGATATGCGACTCTCATCATCAATTACATCTGCACAACAGAAACAAAAAACCTTTTGGCAACAGCTACTAACCTTGTGAAGACGTCGAATGATAAGGAGGGTCTCTTCTTCGTTCAACTCAACCTACAAAGTATTACACTGACATCATCAGACTGCTATATAGCTTTCCCATTATCGTCAAGTTGAATTGTTAGATTAACTCAATGAGTGCAGAAACAAACTAAGCATTCAAAATGCTAGTGACAATGCAATAAGTGACAAACGTTGGCTAGGTGTTTGAGTAGGCCTAGTCCATGATTTAGAACAACACAAGAAACGTTAAAGGGATTCGGTAAACAAAGATACAAGAATAATACGGACAGAACTGTATCAAATATTCAATGTAGGTCATTTGAAGGGTGGTAATAAGGAACGAGAAAAAGCCACTTGAACTTACATTATATTAAGCTAAAAAAGTAAAACTTTACATCCAGCTAATTAATTCATTCAACATTCCTCTGAATGATCACATAAGAAAAGGTTCTTGATTTGCTAACAAATATAATTGCTGTTAAGGAGCTGTTACCGTTAAGTTAATGCGGCATTTACTTTTCATATGGTGTTTAAACTTCATCAAGGTAAAAAGATAGGACGTCTACCAATGTACACATCCAATATGAAGGATTTGATATCATGGTGAGCTAAATTACGACCGTACGAAAAATATTTAACAGCAAAAATCGTGTAAATTGCGCACTATGACAGGTGTTTTGCAATTTTGTCAGATAAGTTTAGATAAAAGTTTAAATAAATACCCTTTCTCCAGTGGAAGCAAACGGTGCATTGAACCACTGCTCAAACGTGGTAACACATTTGAAAATATTTGGCAGCAAGAAGTTTAGCAATGCCCATAGTTCTGGTAACCGGTTCTGAAAAGGAAAGGCAAATGAACTTTTAAAAAAATCGATAAAAATTAACTCAGTTTTGCTTCATAGAAAGATATGACAAATGACTTGCCACTGATATTTTTTTGCACGTCAACTAAGAAACTGTTTAAGTGTGAAATGATTTGGACTCTTGAGTGTCGTATTGAGTGTAATTTTTCTGTTTTGATTAAGTTCATACTACGCTTCTTGGTGTTAAAACAGCCCTGCACAGTCTACGGACACATAAGCAAGCCGCTGCCAGGAACATTTAGTAGGCACAGCTATCTAGCAGGCAAGAGTGACAGAGAACGAATTGAAAAGCTTGATGAATTTTGGTAGGAGCATCTTGCTCTAGATATTTAATAAAAAATAATTTATGAAGCCCTCTATAAAAGTAAAGTCTGCATCTCCATCTCATTTAATAATCCCAGCCGAAAACTTTAATGACTAAGTTGTTCTCAGCCTAGCTTTCTTCTTGTTCGGGCTATACTGGGGAAAATACTAATCGGAAGGAAATTGTTGTTAAAGAATTTCACATCTAAACGATAACATAGTAATTGGCAATGCATCATTCCAAAGCATTTTCCGTTTCCAGGAAAGTGTGACTGTGAGGTAAAAAGGATTTTTTTCTAAAAAGATTCTGGGAACTACGAGAAAGTGATCGGTTAGCTCATTCAGGGGGGTTTTCAATAACTAATTCCCGTTGAAATCTGAGCATTGGTCAAATGAATTGTAACAGTATTTTTGCTAATTCTACTTAATGCAATGGGATGGAAAGTTCTGAAACATTATATCAAGCTTAAACAGGGTATTATTTGCAAATCTGAAAATTTGGCAACGTTGCTTTTGTGAGTCGAGCAATCAATTCAATTTTATAAACAGTCGTCGTACTCGAAGAACTTTTCAATTTTCCATTTAGCGACTGGAATACATGGATTTCAAGGTTGTTTTTAATGTGGGAAGAATTGAGAGCCATGAAGTAGCACGAATTGGTCGGTGGAAATTAGTGCATGGGAAAATGGCAACATTTTGTCACAACACAGCTGTTGAGGCCATCACTTACAAATCGCTTTAAATGATGAAAAGCTTAAATACAGCTGTGATAGGTTGTTTACTAGAATGTCTTATTTACATGAAAATGCCAATGAGCCTATGCTAAGTGCATCAAACGACCCGCATTTGCGTCATTGCTCTCTTCAAGATGATTTTCTTTAACAAACAAATCCTGTTTGCACTGATCCACCTTTAACATTTCAACATTTAGGTAATCTGCTGTATGCAAATTGAACAACATAATGCGATTGACAGGTCTTTTGCAAAGGCTCAACAATAGGAGTATAATTAACAATAATCGTAATGACAATCAAGATAAGCTTAAGATTTGCATATTCCCCAAAATTGAAAAAAGAAAAGTGAAAAAGTGAGCAAAGGGCAAGGAGAGTTTTTTCAAGCAGCATTAAGACTGCATTAATGTTGAGATGGTAAACACTGCTGCAAAACACTACTGCAGAACTGTTGATACTAAATTTTTGAAAAATGGTGGAAAACATCTTAGAGGATTAAAAACCTTTTTTCTGCCAAATACATTTCTGCAACATTGCACAGGGCAATGCCCCCCCCCCCCACTTTTCTGCAGACCTAAAGAAAATTTTTAGGCAAAAGTGGAAATAAATGTAGTATGATTATGTAAGAAACTTTGCCTAGTATTCTCTTAAATGTGTCCTTAGCTTTACCTTGGTTGCCATTGAAGGAAAAGAAACAGCTGGAAAGAACTTTTTTGAGAATATGAGAAATAAAGTAAGGGCAGATTTGTTCTTAAAAAGTATTATCAAGAAAACTTCAGAGTTTGATCGTTTGGGTAGTCCATTCCTACTAAAGAAAGAGAAAATATCGACGAAATTATGAATTCTATTTAAACTCATTTTGACAAGACCAGTTTGAAGTTTTTTCAAATTTTTGTTAAAGCACTTCATTTCCGAAAAAATTAAGATCAGATGTTCCAAAGTTATATCTTAACTGTACAAAATTGCTTAACTTTTCATTTTCAGTTGATAGTTCTTCTGTTGATATTTCAACGTTAATGTTTTTTATTAATCCGTGTTTCATTTATTTTTCTTCCCCATCTTATTTCGGGTACTTTTAGAATCTAAAAAAAGGTTTCATTACGAGCTATATGATAGTGGTTATTCTAAAACTTTGCAAAACTTTTCTATTTCAAGTCAACATCACAATAGACGCGACTATGCGACACCTTAAGTCAAAATTCATTTTAGGTACAGTTTCTGGCTATCCCTAAGACACCATAATCCTAAAATTTTTCTTCCCGCAAGCCATGGTGGCGGCCTTTCCTAAGCCCTTTCGAGACTTTGATATTTTGACCCCTCCATTTTCAAATACGTTTCGCCGGCCCTGTTGCACCGTCTCAAAATTAGTTAAACTGTAAATTGATTGCATAAACCTATTATCAATTAACATAACAATTTTAGGTCACATAATTGAACAGGGATAAAACCAGGCGCTTCTACATCATTGGATAAAACAAACTACCATTGCATCAAGGAATAACTCGCAACGATAACACGCTACCCAGTGATGGCTTGCACCAAGGGAATTCGAGGGAGTTCGTGGAAAACTTTTCAGAAAGGTTCAATTCCGTGGCCTAAAACGTTCAAATTGATAGTTCTTTTTAGGTTGCTATTCTCTCACAACTATGAGCATCTCTTTGGCATTACAATTTTTGAATCCATCGAGAAATTATTTCGAGATGGTCTATAACCTTTTTCTGAAGGTTTTTGTCATTATATTAAACCTTTTTCCTACCCTTTATACCGAGGGGCAAATCACTCTGAAAAAAAACGTACACCTTTTGTTAAAATCCTATTGTTTCAGCTGAAAAAATCCCGAGAAATCCTTTTGTTTTTGGGGAAATCTCGTACGTTATTTGCAAGAGTGAATTGCCCCTGGCTTTATACGGCCTCTCGGGGCCCTTTAAAGACAACTCTGGAGTCCTTTCTTGATGGATCTTGTATGTAAAAAAGTGAAATAAAATTCCCTACTTGGAACACATACGTACCTGAAGGGGTGTTCCCGTTAGCAGCAATCTATGAGGTGCATAGTAATGGGTGTTGAGCACTTGAGTTAGCTTACAGTGATGGTTTTTCATCCTGTGGCCCTCGTCCACAATCATGTACTTCCAGCGAACCTGCACATAAGAAAATAGTTGCCTTTGTTATACTCATACTGCTGTGTTATGTGCGTCAGATACATTAAAAACAGTGCAGCAATCAGCTGAAACTCTAGCCGTTTACAGAAATCTAAAGTAGAAATGAACTGCCCGAAAGATAAAATGATACATATAGTAAAATATAATAATATTGAAGATAGAAATGATGAACAAATAATGATCATTCATAACTGACAGACCCCATTTCAGTTTTGGTTTAATTAAGATTCCTTGGCCAAATTAAATGTGCGATGGACTTTATGGGCGTTATTTCATGGAAGATGTATGAAGTGAAAACAAATGGAATAATTGTATCATATAGACTTAGAGGAACAAATCCACCAAAACTGGAGATAAGTCCACCGATAACATGAAAGCGCTTATTTTGCAAAGAGAACATAAATCACATTCACAGTATTCACAGTTAAATCAATAAAAAAAGATAAAGATAAGACGAAAATTTAACAAATAGAAATAATGAATGACACGTGGCGATCAATATGCGCTTTTCAATTATAATTGCTAAACAGAGATATAAAATTACCACGGACAAGACGAGCAAACGTTCTCACACTTCAAGCAGGCTGTGTCAATGGATGGCAAGCAGGGTCATCATAGAGTTCGACAGAATCTTTTTACAAATAGTTCACCCAACGAAGTTTTAGGTTTAGTTTTGTACCGTAATATACATACAGTTTAGACTTGCTTTCCTTCTTAATAGCATTTAAACTTATATACGAACAAGATAACTTTGCCGAGGTTGAATGTTCGTATTGTTTGGGTAGTTTAAGGCTCTCGAGTTCGTATACAACGACATACAATATATTGCTTATAAGATCATTAAATAACAGTTCTCCATGATATTTTCAGTAGCACAGGAGATAAGCTGCTAGAATCTGATCTGCTAACATGAGAGCAAATCTTTAACAACGTTATTGGCAAATCAAGCCTCAATGCTTTTAAAATGTGTGCTGTTATAAAAAGAGTGGTTTCTAGGCTTCAGCATACCACAGCTCTTTGAATTAGTATGTGCCTTAAAATCAAAATTTCTCGAGATCAAATCAAAACTTCATTGAGTACAGGTGCTGATAACTGAACAAAACAGCTCAGTGTGGTTATTCCAAAGATTAAAGATGAATCTTTATGAACAAGAATATTTGCATTTTCAGCAACGATAGATGGCACAAAACTCTGAAAGCTCAGTTAAGCATTTGTTTTGATTGCAATCTTTCAAGCCTCATACGTCATTAGCCTTCAGTTCTTACAACCTGGTTTTCATTTGCAAGACTACGGGCACATGTTCAACAAATGATTATTGCAAGACGACAAAGGTGACAACATATTAATTATTAACGAAAAAATTTTCTTGCAAAAACACAGTGCCATATTTGTTTATTTGTTGTGAACAGGTCTCTCGCACCTTTCAATTGAATCAAATCAAAAAGCACTGTTCTTGTTTTGAGGTACGAGTAATTAGTTGGATGGAGGCTGAAAGGTCGACTGGACCATGCCATTGGTCGAAGATCTTCTTATTTTTGCTTTTTAAATTTGCTTTTTAAATTCTAGTATAGAGATCCGGGTGTGTCTTTGGTAAAAGCAGTTTAGAATCAAAGGTGAAAATTCAAGATAGGTCCAAAATATGAGCCTTAGCGACAAAGACTTTTTCTCCATACCTTTTTCCGAAAAAGGGTCTTGAAACGTGAAAAAATATTCTTTACGCTTTTCTAAAGTTTTGAACTTTGCTGTGACGTCATCAACATGGTGACAGCACTTAATCTTAAGGAAATCTTAAAGATCTTTATGGTAATTTGCTTAAAAACGAGGTCTTATTCAAAACAAAGCACCCTAGAATGAAAAACCTGAAGTGCAGATATGTAAACATGACAATGGGAAAAAGTCTTCGTCTTTTTGACAGAGTCTTTACAGAACAGTGGAGTCCAACTGAGTGTATTCCACATCAGTATTTTTGATAGAACAAGGAACTCCACCGCAGCTGGTAAAGCTTTGTAAGGGGTCTGATGTTATGATGGCAGTTATAATAAAAGTCATTAACTACAAAGCGTGCTGATTGTTCAGTTGCAAAGATCTGGAGCCAAATGCCTGTTGGAATGTGGTTTAAGCACAGTAGATTCCAATAACAAGCCCACTTCACTTTCAGGAACGGAACAGTTGCTTCAGTCCAGGGTGTTATTTCTGCTTTCAGCAAGGTCAATGTACCCTGGCCATGGCAACGACAGTGATCGACTACTTAACATTAAGCAGTTTCCCTTTTAATGAATATTATATTAAACCAACTCCCTGTAACAAACACTCTCAGTCAGGGTTGCAAGTTTATATAAGAAGAAGGGGTTGCATTACATGACAATGAATGTGTGAAAAGGAACGTTTTAATGAAGACAATTTATTCTATGTCCTGACTTTTTATACATTTTTATCTTCCAGTAAAAGCTCGTTTGACTTAAGTATAGCGACTAATCAATTTTTCTCAGCGCAGTTTTTATGCTTCTATTGCACAGTGGGCAGTTTAATACAGTTTAATCAGTTTAATACAGTTTAATACAGTTTAATACAGTTTAATACAGTTTAATACAGTTTAATACAATGAAGTACAGTTTAGCACAGCATAGCACAGCATAGTACAGCATAGTACAGCATAATACAGCATAGTACAGCATAGTACAGCATAGTACAGCATAGTACAGCATAGTACAGCATAGTACAGCATAGTACAGCAAAGTACAGCAAAGTACAGTACAGTACAGTACAGTACAGTACAGTACAGTACAGTACAGTACAGTACAGTACAGTACAGTACAGTACAGTACAGTTTAGTACAGTACAGTTTAGTGCAGTGCAGTTAAGTGCAGTTTAGTGCAGTGCAGTGCAGTACAGTACAGTACAGTACAGTACAGTACAGTACAGTACAGTACAGTACAGTACAGTACAGTACAGTACAGTACAGTACAGTACAGTACAGTACAGTACAGTACAGTACAGTACAGTACAGTACAGTACAGTACAGTACAGTACAGTACAGTACAGTACAGTACAGTACAGTACAGTACAGTACAGTTTAGTACAGTACATTTTAGTGCAGTACATTTTAGTGCAGTGCAGTTTAGTGCAGTTTAGTGCAGTGCAGTGCAGTACAGTACAGTACAGTACAGTACAGTAAAGAATGAAAATAAGGTCTGATTTTCCCTTGGCATTCGCCGTGGTTAAAAAGCATGATTTTTAGGAAGCAAACCTCGCTAACGTACCTAGTTTTTAATGCTTAAGTATTAGCTGCCACCATATATATCTATATTTATATTTATCTAATATAATAAATATACCAGTAATGATCAATTTGCTCTTGAGAGGTCACCAATTTGAGAACTAACCAATTCCTAAGATCCACCAGCCGTAGTCACCCTATACAAACAATTGAGGACAACCATTCCTTGAGATAAACTGAAATAATCTCTTTAAGAACAAAATTTTTTAATAATTCTGGAGCTTGAAATTTGTGAACTATAAACCTGGGACTTGAAATTTGTGAAATATGAAACATTATCGACAGTTTGACATTATATTTATCTGAGTTTCTTAAAATAACAAGACCAAGACAATCATGACTTTCACGGAAAAATTTTTCGAACACTCTTTAAACTGATAATGTTTCATTTCCTAAAATGTTTTCTTGTTTAAAAAAATATATTAGCAATGAATTGGCCTTTCATTTTCTATCCTTAGAAAATTTACACGTTTTATATTGCTTGAAATATTTCATTAGTAAAACCTTAGGCACAGAATTACACATTTTTAGAAGACTGAGTTTGTGGAAAAATCTAGGTTTTTTTTAGAAATTAAGGCACAAGATACTGCGAGAGCATGGTAGAACATCTCTAGCGAACGACCCTGGCAAGCGGCCATAGTACAGCCTTATCAATTGCCAGTTTCTCCGGCTACTAGTATGAATAATTCAAAGCTAGAAATTATAAAGAAATAATCAAAACCACAGGGCCCACGCCACC